TCCTCGGCCTTGGCCTGACCAGTGAAGGCGAGGTAAGAAAGATGGCGAGGAAAGGGGAGATGAGGGAGGAAAAAGGGAAGGGAGGAACAGCCAGGGGGGATCATGATGATGATGCTGCTGATGGTGATGCTGATGATGATGATGCTGCTGATGATGACGACGATGATGATGATGATGCTGATGATGATGAGGATGATGATGATGCTGCTGCTGCTGCTGCTGCTGATGATGATGATGATGATGATGATGATGATGATGATGATGATGATGATGATGATGATCATGCGGAGGAGGAGAAGGAGGAGGAGGAGGAGGAGGAGAAGGAGGAACCCGAGGGAGAGGAGGAGGAGGAGGAGGAGAAGGAGAAGGAGCAGGAGGAGGAGGAGGGTAAGAGGGAGCACGAGGCGGAGGAGGGAAAGCAGCAGGAGAGCGACGGGGGGGAGGAGGACGAAGTAGAGCACCAAGAGGAGGAGAAACGTGAGAGGCAGCAGGAGGAGGAGGAGGCGAAAGGTGGAGGAGGAGGAGCAGGAGGATGAGTGGTAACAGCGAGGGGAGGATGAGGAGAAGGAGGTGGAGGAGCAGCAGCAGCAGCAGCAGCAGCAGCAGCAGCAGCAGCAGCAGCAGCAGCAGTAGACGCAGCAGCAGAGTGGTGAACAGCAGCAGGTAGGAGGCAGGGCAACCCGCGGACGGCGCCGTCGCAGTAGAGCCCGGCGGCATGCCAGCATGGCGAAAGACGACGACCTGCAGCGACGGCAAGAGATAGAGGGCGGTGACGATCTGTACCGACAGTGAAGCCCGCACTCCCTCCTTTTCCTTCTCCTCCCTTCTTCCTCCTCCTGCTCCTCCACCTCCTTCTCCCTTTTTCAGTGGCTGGCGCTTCGCCATGCCCATCCCATGACCGTGCACGGTGCGGCAACAACTGCACGGCAGTTTGTTCTCGTGCCGCGACCCAGGGTTGATTCGGTTCAGCCAAAACCTCCTCCTCAGACCCAGGGCCCCCGTGCTTTCCGCCAGCTTTTTCCTCGGCTTCAGCACGGGCCATTTATGGTCGGGAGGACCTCCCGGCCCCAAGAGCAGTGGGGCCGACGGGCGAAGGCCACTCAGGGACAGTCCTGATTGTCTTCAACCAAGTTTCTGGGCAACGTGCTTTCCTCCTCCTCATCCTCATCTTCATCCTCATCAGCAGCAGCAGCTCTCCTCCTCCTCCTCCTCCTCCTCCTCCTCCTCCTCCTCATCATCATCATCATCATCATCATCATCATCATCAGCTTTCCTCCTCCTCCTCCTCCGCTGAGAAGGAGGTTGATTGTGTGAATCTCACACTGGGAAGGTGCCTCACATGCGGTCGGATGGTGAGACAAGCGGCTCACCTCGTCCACCCGAGCGCGCCGACGCGCGAGTGGCCGTGGTCTCGAGCCCTCGGTCCGCTCCGAAGAACGAGTTCTCCAACCTCGCAGCTCCTCTTCCCGAGCATGAGTGAAGGCCGTCTCGTCGTCCCCGTGGGCGCGCCGACGCACGAAGGGCCGTGGTCATGCGCGTCTGGCCCGCTCTGGCAAGTGAGCAGTCCACACCTGCAGCTCGAGCTCCCGTGCACGGATGCGGCCTGCTTCTCGTACCTCACCTGTCCAAGCTCAAGCCTGCCCGATTGCTGACGAGCTTGCGCCGCCGACCGAATGCCCCGGTCGTAGGTGCCGTTGGGCTCCTCATCCTCGCCCGTCGCCCGGCAAGACGACTGCGCCACATGCGCGGCGAAGCCAACGTTGCACCCCTGCGGGCGCTGCAGCCGCGAAGCCCTCGAGCGGCAACCGCTCGTCTGCCGAGGGCCTCGCGCTTCCAGCGCGAGGCCTGCACATGATCTCCATCTCCTGCGCGCCCATCCGCACGCCGTCGCTGACCTTGAGAAAGACGTCCCTGGGCTCGGCGTTGAGGACGAAGGAGCTCGGTCCCACTTCCGTGCACAGACCACACGGCGGGAAGGCCAAACTCGTTCGAAACAACCTTGCGGCGGGTCACCGCGATGCCCCCCTGCGATGATGGGCGCGACAACCCGAAGCGACTCCAGCGCCGTGCGGGGTGCAGCCGCGTCCACGTGAGCAGAGGCCAGCTGCGCAGTGGCCAACTGCGAATGGCGGCATCCGCCGTACAGGCAGCGCCTCGCTGGGCTCTTCGGCGCTCGGACGCCGAACGCCTCCAGGGGCTCTCAAGAGCCTCCTCTCGTGCCATCCTCAGGGACTCAGCATCTCCAGAGCACACGACCCATCGGGGAAGTTCGAACCAGCTCGCAGGGGGCTTGAGACAGGCCTCGGGCAATGATGTTCAACTCCTCCTGCTCCTCCTCCTCCTACTCCTCCTCCTCCTCTGCCCCCTCCCTCTTCTCGTCCGTCCTCCTGCACAACCCCCTCCTCCATCGACTCGCTCGGCCGCCTTCTCCAGGGCAACCTGGAACGAGCGAGCGGCGACGGATGGAACGGCAGCTGCTGCAATGCCACTGCCGCTGCCGCAGACGCTGCTGCTGCTAGCACCTACTACCAAGGGTCAGATTGTGCAGATGAGAGTGTTTGTCTTGAATCCTGGAAGACCCCCTGTAGTCAGCATCCTAAGGTCGCTGTTCGGGATGGGGGTGGAAGGAGACCTCAGCTCAATGGCGTTGCCAGCAGCAGTGACTCCGCAAGGCATGTAAAACACATGCGGAACGCCAGAGGCAACACTGTCGACCAAGCACATGATGTGTTTCAGTTTTGGGCCACAGCTTTCTCAGTAACACATTGCAAGGAATTGGGTAAGTGACAAACTCTGGGTAGTGGCTAAAACAGTGTCCCACTTGCTGTGGTCAGAATGAGCATGTATCATATATGCATATATGTACATATATATAGATCTGGATTGATCCAGGGGCGCGGCGTGGTGGAAGGTAATGGTGTTCCCCCGCTTTTTGTGGGTGTGGGATGGTTCATTGTCGTCGTAGTGTTCCGTCGTCGTCGTCGTAGTGTTCCGTCGTCGTCGTCGTCGTCGGCGGCGGCGGCGGCGTCGGCGTCGGCGTCGGCGTCGACATCGGCGTCGGCGTCGGTGTCGGCGTCAACGTCGTCGTCGAAGACGTCGTCGTGGTCGTCGTCGTCGTAGTCGTGCTCGTCTTCGTCGTGGCCGTCGGCGTCGTCGTCGTCGTCGTCGCCGTCGTCGCCGGCATCGTCGTCGTGGGCGTCGGCGTGGGCGTGGGCGTCGGCGTGGGCGTGGGCGTCGGCGTCGCTTCGGCGTCGGCGTCGGCGCCAGCGTCGACGTCGGCGTCGGAATCGGCGTCAGCGTCGTCGTCGTCTTCGTCGGCCCCCCAATCCATTCTGGGGGGGGGCTGTGGAACGCTGGGGACCCATCCCATCTGGGGCGGGCGGGGGCAATGAACCATTGTCCCTATTGTGCTGCCGCCGTTCCTTGGTTGCGGTGGTTTGTGTGTATTTGTCTTTGGTTTGTAAGTAATCTGGCTGAGATTCTCAAACAAATGACGACTGGAGAGAGGTAGGTCCTGAGCGATGACCATTCATTGCAACGGCTACGTACTAGTATCATAGTATCATGCAGCGGTTATCTCGAAACGGGCAACATCGCCGAACGACATATATTCCCTCTTAGCCGCCCGCCAGTCTGACCAGCGGACGGGGCCACCCATCACCCTTCACATGTCGTTTCTCTGGAGGCGTCGCAACAACACTCAGATCCCGGTGTTCTTTGCCGTTGGCAAGCCCGAGCGTAAAACCGATACGTTTGAGAGTTCGCCTAAAAGCCGCCCGCGGTACGTTTGGGCCTCTCGCTCTCACAACATTGCGCGCCCCTCGAAGAGAAGGCTCGCAAGATCAGCATGACGAGGCATCTTGCGCGGCACATCAGCGCCTCTGTGCCGCACTGAATGGTAGTATCTTTAACTGACTGCTGCATATAATCCGACACGGGCCACGAAATCGCTGTGACCAGCGATCCCTCGTCGATCACGTGGACGACGGCCAGTCCATTGAGAAAGGACCCAAAGCAATCAGAAAAATAGCACGAGCGGTCGCTGCATAGCCGTCCCCCCGCCGAGCAGGCGAAAAGATCCACAACGCCTTCAAGTCCCAGGTCCATTGTACACCACGGCGCGAAGAAGAGAAATCCGAGGGGCCCAGACGGAGTCCACAGCCAGGAGAACAAACGGCCACTCGGACCTCGGAGGAAGGACGCGGCAAGGATCTCTGGGCCCATCCATTCCCCGTCGTCGGGTGCAGCAGGCAAGTTCCAGAAGCCTCCTCTCAAAATGTCCTGTCCCCGATCGTGGGCCCGGGGGCAACAACGGCGCCGAACCGCACGGTGGTCGCACCTGCTCCTCAGCTCCTGCACGGATAGGCATGCGACGATCATGCGCATCCTGTGCCTTAACGACATGTGTTCGCCGTCGCGCAAGAGAAGGACCCGAGTGGTCAGGAGCGACGACCTGGCGACCTCCGGCCAGACATGCACATCGGACAGGGGCCGCCAGTGTCTCCAGCCGGGTGCTTCTCCTGCTGAGGCTCCCACGGGCGACAGGCTCACGCTCGAGAGCGACATCTGCCGATGCACCGCCTGCACCTCGCCGTACGCGACCTGCGTCTCGACCGCGCTCAAACCTGTGCCGAGGGCGAGCAGGTCGATGTCCCCGGCCGCGAACTGTACGATCTGCTCCAGGGTCGCCCCCCTCTCCTCCTCCTCCTCCTTCCTCCTCCTCCTCCTCCTCCTCCTCCTCCTCCTTCTCTTCCTCGTCCTCCTCCTCCTCCTCGCTTTCCGCCTCGCTCTCTTCCGCCCCTCCCTCCGTAATTGCATAATCATGTTTCTCCTCCCCCTTCTCCCCCTCCTCCTCCTCCTCCTCCTCCTCCTCCTCCTCCTCCTCCTCCTCCTCCTCCTCCTCCTCCTCCTCCTCCTCTCCGCGCTCTCCTCCCGCTCCTTGTCCTCGCCGTGTTCCTGCTTCCTGCTGGGGATGCTGATGATCAGGAGCTGCCCCCTATTTCATATGGACATTGCTCATCACGACAGGCTGCGATCGGCTGGGAAGTATTTCCCGCCACACGGATTACAGGAGTTGACCTGCAAGGCTCCGTGAGACTTTTCTATAACGGCAGCCTGCAGGCTTGATCCTAGAAGAGGGGGGCGGTAGAGCAACACGGGGGAGGATGAGGAGAGGGACGAGAAGGAATGGAGGAATTGAGGTGGAGAGGGAAGGTGGAGGGAGGAACGAAGAGGAGGGAGATTAGGAAGAGGCGGCGGACAAGCCTTCACCGCTCAAGCCTCTCTTGGGCTTGGCCTAAACGTGCTGCCTTGGCACCTGCACGGTCACAGCGTCTCCGCTGCAGTCCCCTACATAGGCCCAGGGCGTCCAGCACCGGGGGCGGCAAAGAGGTGAACTCCCACGTGCGCGGCCCAGGTGGGGGCCAGGGGACGTGTTGAAAGAAAGAGAAAAACACACAAAGAAGAATAGCAAGAAGAAACACACAGAGACACATCATAAAAGACATAATAATACGAACACTACGATTAAGAAGAAGAAGACGAAGAGGTGGCCATGCGATCCGGAGGGATATCATGACCGAGGCCATGATACCAACCCCAAAATCACACCCTCCTCCTCTTCCTCCTCCTCCTCCTCTTCCTCCTCCTCCTCCTCCTCCTCCTCCTCCTCCTCCTCCTCATCCTCCTCCTCCTCCTCCCCCCTCTTCATTCGCCTTCTTCTCCGCCTCCTCCTCCTCCTCCTCCCTCCTCCTCCTCCTCCTCCTCCTCCTCCTCCTCCTCCTCCTCCTCCTCCTCCTCCTCCTCATCCTCCTCCCCCTCATCCTTCTCCTCCAGCAGGCGTGCGCTGGGCCCGGATCTGGAGGATCACGGCCTCCCGCCCTCCGAGACCTGGGCCCACAACTGGGCATGCGGAGGCTCCGTGGCAGCTGCCCTCCCACCCCGGGCCCCTCGCTTTCTCCCGCCCCAGGGAGCCCCACCTCCTCCTCCTCCTCCTCCTCCTCCTCCTCCTCCTCCTCTTCCTCCTCCTCCTCCTCCTCCTCCTCCTCCTCCTTCTCCTCCCCCCCTCCTCCTCCCGCTCCTCCTCCTCCCGCTCCTCCTCCTCCTCCTCCTCCTCCTTCCTCCTCCTCCTCCTCCTCCTCCTCCTCCCTCCTCCTCTCCTCCTCCTCCTCCTCCTCCTCCTCCTCCTCCTCCTCCTTCTCCCCCAGGTAGCCTGGCCGATGCCGCCCTCCTGCCCTGACATCTGCGGATCTGACGTGTCCCATCCGCAGCACCAGAGGGGCCGACCGCTGCCTCAGGGGCTAGAGCTTCGTCCTGGGTCCCTTCTTCGTGGTCCTGGAGCCCGCTGGCTGGGGAAATCAAGAGGTACCGAGACCCGGACCTCTCCCGGGATGCGTTCTGACCAGGATTTCGAGGCAAATCCAGAGGTGGCGACGAGGGCCTCCCAGGAGGCCCAACAGGGGGAAAACGGCCGAAGGTATCACTATGGGTACCCTTTCCTCCTCCGAATGACGGGCCCCAGAGGCCAAAATAGAAACAAAATTGCGGGGTTGCCCCAAACATCTGGGGGACAAATCATGGCATAAACATGGACTTTCGGAGGTCCGCCGAGATCTCTTGGATCGGCGCTGGACCGCCCATCCCTGGCTCGCGGAGCGCGCCAGGAGCGGCGCTGGGGGCGCCGCCAGGGGGGCCCAGCGCCGATCCAAGAAAGCCGCTCGGAGCTCTGAAATGTTATGATTCTGCAGTTCCTCGGCCAGATGCCGAAATCGACGCCAAACAAACTGTGGGATAGGCCAAAAACAAATCGCTGTGTACAAGGGTGTTCTACGGTTGGGGCACTGGACTAAGGAACCCCGAGATAAGGAACGCAGGACCTGGAAGAGGGTGGAACACCAGTGGAGGCGGTGCCATGGATCTCACCGCCGCCCCCAATCAGCTAAGGGCTAAGGGATCATCCAGGGCCTGAAGCCTTCGGGATACGGCAGCTTCGTGTCGTGTCCACCCCGGCGTTGATCCCTGACACTGCGGGGATCGTTCAATCTTGAACGATCGGCCGTCTCCGAAACGTCTGATGATTCAACATCGACCGATCCTGGGTCGGCGGCAGCGTTCAAAGACAAGCGCCAGCGGCGGGGTCGCCGCGGGTCGACACGACGCGAGCCTACCGTACATCCTTCAACGAGCGCCCCCGCTTTATGGGATCGCCCCAAAAACAGCTGGTCGAATCATCCGGGCGTGAGGGGCAGGCGCTGACGGCCCGCGCGGCCAAAGCGCCTCAGGCCTCCAAGCGCCCGCCACACGCGTCGAGGCAGGCCCCGTGCGTCCACCGGGCCTCAGCCTCCAGCACCTCTGCGGCCGTGAACGCTTGCTTGGCGCGTCGCGGCGGCGGCCCAGACGAGACGCTCTTCCTCCTCCCCCTCCTCCACCTGCTCCTCTCTCTCCTCCTCCCTCTCCTCCTCCCTCTCGTCCGCCCTCTCATCCTCCTCCTCCTCCCCCTCCACTTCCCCTCCTCCTCCTCCTCCTCCTCCTCCTCCTCCTCCTCCTCCTCCTCCTCCTCCTCCTCCTCCTCCCCATGCTCTTCCTGCTCCTCCTCCTCCTCCTCCTCCTCCTCTTCCTCCTCCTCCTCCTCCGCCACCTCCTCCTCCTCCTCCTCTCTCTCCTTCTCCTACGCTCTGCTCCTCCTCCCCTGCTTCTCCTGCTCCCCCTGCTCTTCCTCCTCCTCCTCCCCTCCTCCTCCTCCTCCTCCATCATCATCATCATCTCATCATCATCATCATCATCATCATCATCATCATCATCACGCAGCAGCAGCAGCAGCAGCAGCATCATCATCATCATCATCATCATCATCATCATCATCATCATCATCATCATCAGCAGCAGCAGCAGCAGCATCATCAGCATCAGCATCATCATCATCCATCATCATCATCATCATCATCATCATCATCATCTCATCATCATCATCATCATCATCATCATCATCATCATCATCATCAGCCTCCTCCTCCTCATAGCCTCGTCCTCTTCCCTGTCCCTCTCCTTCCTCCTCCTCCTCCTCCTCCTCTTCCTCCTCCTCTCCTCCTCCTCCTCCTCCTCCTCCTCCCCCTCTCCTCCTCCTCCTCCTCCTTCCTCCTCCCCTCCTCCTCCTCCTCCCTTCCCTCCTCCTCCTCCCTCCTCCTCCTCCTCCTCCTCTTCGTCTCCTCTTCTCCTCCTCCTTCTACTCCTCCTCCTCCTCCTCCTTCTCATCCTTACCCTTATCCTCCTCCTCCCCCCCTCCTCCCTCCTCCCCCTACTCCTCCTCCTTTCTCCTCCTCCTCCCTCCTCCTCCTCCTCCTCCTTCGTCCTCCTCCTCCTCCTCCTCCCCTCCTCCTCCTCCTCCTCCTCCTCCTCCTCCTCCTCCTCCTCCTCCTCCTCCTCCTCCTCCTCCTCCTCCTCCTCCTCCTCCTCCTCCTCCTCCTCCTCCTCCTATGCCCTGCGAGCAGACAGCAAGTCGCTCCGCTCCGCGGTGCGGGTGGCTGGGAGGGGCTCGCGACGTTGACGCCCGGGGACTGGAAAGTGAACAGCGCGTCGCGCCGCAGCGTGGTGGGCCAGAACTGGCAGCGCGACGCGCTAAGCCAAATTTCCCGACCGTGTCCGCGTCGAATCGGCGCGGAATCCATGCAGAACGCGCCGAACACAAGACATAGGACAGACAAGGTAGAAAACAACCCACGGAAGCTTTGGGTCGTCCCCATGGGGCCCAATATCGCGCCCAGTCCCGCGCAAAGCGGACATACTGAGTCTCCCTCACGTGGCGCTAACAGGCGCTATTGGTCACTACTGAACGTTATTTTGAAGGCTATTCGGCGCTGCTGCGCGCCAACGGGGGCCACTTGGCGCTATTAGCCGCGATTCGTCGATATACATCCGATCCACGACGAGCACAAACTTCCGTGAGTGGGTAGCCTGGCCGATGCCGCCCCTCTGCCCTGACATCTGCGGATCTGACGTGTCCCATCCGCAGCACCAGAGGGGCCGACCGTTGCCTCAGGGGCTAGGGCTCCGTCCTGGGTCCCTTCTTCGTGGTCCTGGGGCCCGCTGGCTGGGGAAACCCAAGAGGTTCTGATACCCGGACCTCTCTCGGGGTGCGTTCTGACCAGGACTTCGAGGCGAAACCTGTGATGGCGGCGCGGGCCACGCAGGGGGCCCCCCAAAGGGGAAAATGAAGGGGCCCTAGGACACACAAATAAATAGACAAATGATCAGGATGCCCCATCTGTTTCCCTATTTTCTGGGTTTTCGTCGTCCCCCCCGCTTCCAACATGTTCCCATCGTTCTTGGGGAATCGTCGATTACTTGCGTCTGCGTGATTTTCCCCTACTGGGCAAACCAAGGAATGGGCATAGCTGTATATGGGTACTCTTCCCTGGCACAAGCTTCCGTGCTTTACTTTTCTGAGGGAAGTGGAGGGGAAGAAGGAGTGAGGAGGAGAAGGAGATGGAGGAGGCTGAGGAAGAGAAGGAGGAGGAGGAGAAGGAGCAGGAGGAGGAGATGAGGGGGAGGAGGAAGAGGAGGATGACGAGCAGGAGGGGGAAGGGTGGAGGGGGAGAAGAGGGACGATGATGATGACGATGAAGAGGAGGAGGAGAAGGAGGAGGCGAAGGAGGAGGAGGAGGAGGAGGAGAACGAGGAGGGCCCCCCCGAAGATGCCACACCGAGCGCCTCGTCGCCGCAGAGCCTCGCCACCGTGAGCGCCGCGTCCGTGTGCGCCAGCGCCTCCCTCGCGCTGCCGGCGATGCTGCTCAGCGCGCTGCGGGCCAGCAGCGCGCGGGCCTCGCCGTGGCGGCTGCCGAGCCCGCGGAAGAGCGCGGCCGCGCGCTCCGCGGACGCGCCTGGGGGATCCAAAAGGTAACCGACTGCCCATGATATTAAACCCCTGGGAATCATAATGGGAGCGAGCGTCTATATATATATATATATATATATTTATATATAGAACTTCTTTCTGGGGCGGACGATTTCAAACATAGTTTCGCGGGCGATCGCCCCGCCGCAATAGCGGAAGGGCGGGGCAGGCAGACGGAGGGCGGACAATCCGGGGTCGTCTGGAGGCCCTAGGAGGGGCGCGGGCTGACAATCCAGGGCGGGGGGGCGGGGGGTCAATTCAGAGCCGGGCAAGCAAAAGCTGGGAAGGACTTCGCGGGCTGACGATTCGAATCCGCAGGGGCAGTCAATTCGAGGCCGCGGGGATTGCCTTTGGCCAGCCCTGAATGGGAAATAGAAACTTCTGATCCGCCAGTCCTAAACGGAAGGAAGACATTCTGCGCCGCCTTCAGACAGCGACCTCTTTCCCCACTTCCTCTTCCTATCCTCCTCCCCCTCCTCCTCCTCCCCCTCCTCCTCCTCCTCCTTCTCTCCCTCCTCCTCCTCCTTCCCTTCGCTTTTCTATCCCTTGTCACCTTCCCCCTGCGAGTTACTGTTCCTCTACAGTTATTCAATATGAATACTATTTCCCGTTCTTCCCTGATGCACTCCGGAAGATCGCCTGCCCCCTCCGCGTATTGTGTTTTAAATACACACAGGTTTGGCGCGAATTCGTTTCTCATATTTGGTGTTTCAATCGGAACGTGCTCGGCTCTTTCAAACATGCTGTTCCTGCTGTTACGCTGGCCTCATGTTCGAGCTTCCGCTCGGTTCGAATCCTCCCGCGTGCTGTGTATGTACACCGAGGATTGGGGGAGTGTGTTGTTCATATCTGTTGCTCAATCCGAGCTTGTTTTGTTAATCCGACACACTGCTCCCGTGGCAGCGTTGGCCTGATTTTCAAGCTCCAACCGCCGTCCGCGAGGACGACAGCTGGGCCGTCCTCAGATTGGTTCTTAAGTCGGGGGTGAAAAAAACAAAAACCTTCATAAACATAAACTTTCGGCTGTCCTCCGTGGATTTCCTGGATCTGCACTGGTGCTCCCTGGCGGCGCGTCCGGCGCCCTTTCCACAATCCTCCTCCCGCGGCCGCGGGTGATCAAACGAACGCATGCGGACGAACAGAACATCAATTTCCGCAAGGCGGCAAAATAAAACGCCAGGGGGGCAGAAGACTAAAAAACAGTTTCCAGAGCCGAATTCTATTAGTCTGCACCACTCATTCATTTTGGGCCCCCTGGGACGGGAGAGGGGGCATTTTCTGAATCTACCCCCATCAAAATGCGGGGTCCAGGGGGGATAGTAAACGCTTTCCCGGCAGATCGCAGCATAAAGGACGTCGAAGAGGATGATATTGATGATGATGATGCTGATGATGATGATGCTGATGATGATGACATCCTTGTCCAGGGGCCGCGGTTACCGACACCGCCGCCGCCACCGCCGCCGCCACACCGCCGCCGCCACCGCCGCAGCCAACGACGACGAGTACGACGACAACGAGGCCCTCGTCGCCACGGCTGGATTCTCCTCGGCCTCCGGGTGAGAACGCACCCCGGGGAGAGATCCGGGAAACAGAACAAGGCACCGGCACCGATGCTCCCCGGACCTCGCCTCGAGGCGAATATCCAGCCGTGGCGGCGTGGGCCTCCCGGGTCCGAGGCCCGCAGAGGCCAGAGCGTGGCAAGGTTGCAGTGGCATATCGGTACGCATGGATATATGAGGGAGAGTCCTCCCAATATGCGCATGTCTTTAGTTGAATGGAACATAACAAAATGTATTCTCATATTGTAATAATTTTAATATGTTTGATCTTTCTCCTCTTAGCGCCAGCGCCGCCGTAGTCCCCGCGCCGCATCAGGGCCTCCGTCTGCCAGTACAGCGCCTGCGCCAGGCGCCCCGCGTCGCCCCCGCGCTCCGCCGCCCGGACCGTCTCCGCTGCGGCGGCCGCCAGCTCGCCGCCGCTCTCGGCGCCGCTGGAGGCTGCGCTGCTGCCACCCGCGTCACTCAAGCCGTCCGGCGCCTCCGCCGCCCTGGTTGACTCGGTCAGCGTCTTGCACACGAGCGGGCTGGCCTCCTCGACGGATGATCTCCAGCGATATGACCCGTCAAACTGGCGCTGTCTCCCCAAGGCTGGCCGTCGGGTCCCGTCCCGGGGACCTCAAAAGCAAATCCTGGTCGAGATATAAACGGCTCTGGGGAAGCGCCTGCACCGAGGGAACTGCGGGTTGACAAACGTCATATCGGCGGATGTCTGGGATCAGATCTGGCTGATGGGCCTTCTTCAACCACCACCACCATGAGTTGGAGGGGGAAGGTTGAGGATGAGGAGGAAGAAGAAGAGGAGAACCTCCTCCTCCTCCTCCTCCTCCTCCTACTTACGGTGGTGGTGGTGGAACACAAGCCCACCAATGTCGGTTCCGGGGGATGCGTCGGGCGCCGCGACCGCTCCAGAGAGCCCTCTGGAGCGCTCTGGGAGCGGTCCAGAGCGCCGTGGAACAATTTCTCCAGGTCCCTGGCCCCGCCTTATCCGAGGCTGGTGCATATATCCATCGCCCAGGGAGCTGGTGAGCTCAGGACTCCGGCATGCGGTGGATGTGGTGGATGCGGTGGTAATATATATATATATATATATATATATATATATATTTATTCACGTTCATGCATACATGAGGATTTTCACTTGTAGTTATGTACCCATCGATCGGAAGAAGTAGGTAGGAACATGAAGTAGGAAGGCGGATAAAGTAGATTGGGCTCGGGCCCGCCCAGAGAGGAACAACACGCAGCAAAGGCATTCCGTTTCTTAAAATAGGAAGGCGCTTGAAGAAGATTGGGTTCTGGGAGCCCCAAAATACCAACTATCAACGACCGATGGGTATGTGCCCACTGCGGTCCTGGGGACATCGGCTCGAGAAGCCGTTTAGCACGAAGTGGAGTGCCCCAAAGCTCGTGCAGTCCTGCGCAGAGGAGGACATGTGCAAGACTGACGGGCCTGGACCCCAGGATTCCCAGGCAATTCTGACTGCTTCTGGGGCTTACACCGTGGACCTCCAGGATGGAGACACCGCCCAAAATGACCTGGAAAAAAGCCCCAAGAGTTGTGGATGCCATGACCATGGACACTCTAACAATCCCATCATTGAATTGACGATGTGTGTAAACTGTGTAAAACATGTTCTAAAAAGGTGTCAAACATGTTTCAAACATATAAAATATGTTTGAATCATTTGTAAGACGTCTGGAAAGTATTTGGCAGCACGCTTCCTCTCCATTAATCGACTTCCGCAACCCACGGGTTCCTCCGACGCGCCCAAGAGGGTCCGAGAGCGTTCCGAGGTGGCCCCAGAAGGCTCCAGGACTGGCCACGTCGCCCTCCGGACGGCCCAAGAGGCCCCCAAGAAGGCCCAAGAGAGACCCAGGAGGAACCCCAAGTGACTCTCAGGAGACGAAGTTCGTCATAATCTCTTGGGGGAACGCCCATTTCCATAAGTTATACACATATATATATATATGAATATATATATATATATATATATATATATATATACGCACATACACCTTTCAAGCATTCACGGCGCCCACAAAGAGCTAAGAGGACCCCAAGATCACCCCAAGACGGCCCAAGCGGTCCCCAAGATCGCCCGAAAAAGCCCCCCCCCAGATGTTCCCAAGACGGTCAAAAAAGGTATAACAACGGCCCAAGAGGGCCCTAAGTCGGCCCAACGGGGCGCCAAGCGGGGACCAAGAGAGGCCCCAGATGGGGAGCACGAACCGACATGTCGAGCATTCCGCCCAAAGAAGACACCTCCAAAACTGCATACGGCATCCCACAGGCATCGGACCTACAGCTTAGGCGCGGCTGCGAATGGGCCTCAGGCCATTCTATACGATCTTGTATAATACAATGCCGCCTGTCTGAAGTCCCCTTTTCTCGGGCGACGTGCCGAACACGTTGAGGTTGAGTCTCAAGCGAAAAACGTGGACAACTGAAACAAACCACCCCCCTGCTCGTTGTGCCGCACCGTTCGGCCTTCAGACGGCTCCAAGAGAGCCCAAGGCCGCCCAAATGCAGCCACAGGACACCCCAACATCGTCCAAAGGCGGCCCATCGTGGTCCGAACGAGGCTGCACGTCTCTCCGCAAGCTGTCCCAGGCGACCCCGAGGCGCCTCCAGGGTACGCCCGCAAAAGACCTCCAGCGAAGCCCCCACGGGCGTGATCCGCTGGACACCCTGAAAGAACTCGACGTGCTCTTCCTCCGATGCTTTTCTGTGCCAGCTCGCCTCGGAAGGCCTCGTGGGGGGCGCCAAGGAGCACCCGAGACGCCTCACGCCAGCCTCAAGAGAGCGCCCCGGGGCAGTCACGAGAGCGCACTGTACGGCCTCCAGGTGGCTCCGAGGCAGCCAGATGCCGCCCTGAGACGGCTGCAAGGCAGAGTAGCTTTCCGTTGGGCCGCCCAGCATCGAGTCAAAGTTCAGAGTCGAGCGTGATTGCTGCTTTCTTCACATGCGGCCGCTCTGTTCCTTCTGAACACCAAGTCTGCAGTTGCACCTCGGGGTAAGGCTGGCCGCCCTGAGAAAATCCTGGGAAGACACTTTAGCCTTACGTATCTGCTCCTCAGCGCAGCAGTACGTGTGGCAAGAGCAAGCCAAACACATAGACTTGGCACTGGAGCTCCATCTCTAAGCGGGCTCGCTTAGTAACAACGAACTCTAGATTCAACCAAGTAGCGTAGCGCACCTCATTCCCAAAGTCCAGAGCGCGTGCATGTGGCTATCCTATCCCCTCCACAAACACACATACACACATACCCACCTTTATCAATAAAAAGCGGATGGCCGCGGGTGGAAACGGATCGCTCGCAAAGCCGAACCATTGGCCGAATGGCCGACGGCGTCGCAGCGTCTACCACCCAAAAAGCAGGCCAGACGACCACCGATTTGAAGCTACGAGCTACGGACCAGTGTCGTGGCCACGCCCTGGGAGCAGGAGCAGTCTCGGGGCCACGCCCTCCCAGCCCTAGCATCCAACATGCTCCAAGCGTGTGTGTGTGTGTGTGTGTGTGGATTGGCGGCTCATTTGGCGACGCGCAGCACGGGCCGTCTGCGCAGAACGGGCCGGGGCGACCGCTCGCGGCGCGCAGCACGGACCAGGGCGAGGGAGGCCACCGTCTGCGGGCAGGGTGCTGCCGGATGCGGCGTGCCGCGAGCGCGCCGCCCGCCAAGTCGTGACTGGAAGACGGCTGGCAGTTCACGCCTTTTCGGCGCCTGCCACCATGCACATCAACACGAATCGATCCGCTGATGCAAGCTGCAAGTTAGTACGTCAGCGCAACAGAACGGAACATGCTCCGCAACCGCAGCACAAAGTCGCAATGATTGAAACGTGCACAGAGTTCATTTACAGCGTGCTCAAGGAGGGGGAGCAGAGATGAGGGGCGGGAGAGCGGAGGAATGGGCGACACTGAAACGACCTTAGCCTCCAGCCCTTCACTACCTCAAAAAGCTTTCACGGCCAAATCGCCTCCCTGTTCAGCCAACACGTCCGCGGACCCTCCGCGGATGCACCCGGGACTCTGGCGGCGTCCGCGAGAAGCCCGCAGCACGCTTCGGCGCAGATAGCGCCCGCGGCCTGCTCGACGCTCCCGGCGCCCGCCCCGGCGACCGGCGAGGGGCGGGGCAGCGCCACGACCACGGGACCCTCGGCACAAAGACGACGGCCCGACTGCAGGAGGAGAGAGCGACGCTGCCACGACGCGACCGGCTCGGGATGCGCCCCGGGCTGCAGGCTGCGTCGCCGAGCCAAGCTGGCATGGTCCTGCTATCCCTCCGGCTCTGATGCAGCGCCCTGCGGCTGTGCCCGCCGGCCTGTGCTGAACCTAGGGAAGAAACAACTGCACAAGCATCAACTGTTGGCGCTCCACGCGGATTTCTTGGATCTGCGTTGGGCCCCCCCTCCCTGGCGCGCGGAGCGCGCCAGCGGCGGCGCTAGAGGCGCCGCCAGGGGGGGGGGCGGCAGCGCAGATCCAAGAAACCCGCGTGGGGCTCCAGAGGTTTACGCGCGGGGCTCCAGAGGTTTACGTGCATGGCGCATTTTCTTCTTCGGGAGCCACGCGAAAGGCGGCGACGGCGGCGCACTGCCTCCGCCTCCTGCAGCACCTCGTCCCTCTGAGGCTGGCCAGCGCCCCTGCCGCCCACGCCCCCGAGGCCGCCCTGGCTGCCCTGGGTCACGATAGGGGCGCCCTGCGCTTGGGGGACCTCCGAGTTGTTATGCGTACGTCCTTCTTCGCTCCCCCACCTCCAGGCTCCGCCTGCCCGCGCGGCGTCTCCATGCGGTGCGGTCAGCGCCCATCAAACAGGGACTCCACGAACGGGCACTTTGGCCAGTGACCCAGCGAACCCAACCCTTCCCGTTAGCAAGTGCCCGTTACGGTGCCGTTGAGGCGGGCATGCAGCAGCCCGTCCGGCCCATCCACGCGTGTCCTCACGGGGGAGGCCTCTGCAGAATGGCGCTGGCCCCCTGCACTGCGAGCCTGCGGCAATCGCATCAGGCTTGATCCGGAACGGCTTACGCCAGAGCGGCTGCGAGACGCAGTAATGACCATCGAGAAACCGCCAAACCAGCCCCCAAGCACCAACATCACCCCAAGAGGCAAGGTGCGCCAAGGGGCCTCCAGGAGAGGCCTGGAGAGGCCTTCAGACAGGCCCTCAGCAGCGAAAAACGCTGAACGTCCCTAGGAGGAAACGTTGTGTAAGTGCCTCCGAGGCTAGACGGCCTCAGATCGCATCAGACAAGCTTCAGAGAGCCCCCAACAGGGCCCGAAACTGGTCCTAGAAAGCCTCCAGATGGTGCCAAGACTGCCCGAGAACCCTCCGAGATAAGCCGATAGAGCTCCAAGACGGCCCGAAGACCCGCCCAAACGTCCCCAAGTTTCGACGGGGCCTGGCCTTTTGTGGAGAGCTCGGCCGAATCACTGCGCCCCCGACGGTCCAAAGATCCCCGACGGGCACCCCAGAGGTCCCCGTGAGAGCTCAAGAGGCACTCCAGAGGCCCGCGGGAGCCCCAAAGAAACTTCCAGTCTTCAATCAAAAAGGATGGCAAAGGATGGAATGGGACGTACGGGCTGGAGACAAGAATAAGACATACGGGGATGGAAGAGGATTCAACTCGAAAGGGGGAGATGAAAGAAGGGGAGGAATGGAGGGGTGCGGGAATAGAAGAAGAACGGAAGAAGTGAATGAGAAGCGAGAAAGAAGGTTCAATTCCCACTCCTACTCCCATTCACCCTTGCGCGTCTGAATGTGCGAAACACATCGTGAAAGATGTATGGTGCAATGTATTGTGATTCATGGCGCGCGCAGCTGGTTATCAATGAGGCAACATTGCCGTACCCTTCATCTCCTCGTCCATCTCGAGCTCCAATTCGATGCTCTCGTGCACGTCCACATGGCAGACATCAAAGTGAGCCATGAGGCCCAGCGCGCTGGTCGCTTTGGCCAGGGCGCACGACTGCTGTGAGGGCTTGAGCCTCTTGACACTGCAGAAGCACAACCTGCCTGCTGGTCTGCTACTCTGTGCGGGCGCCAGGGACTGCTACGCAAACAAGGGCACGGCAACCTGAACGCAGGCCAACATATTCTTGGCGCTGGGCCTCTCAAACAGTAGTGTGAGGAGAATGGCGAGGCGAGGAGGGCACGGAAGGGCAGGGAAGAGAAGTGGGAACGGGGCGTACGTGACACGCCTGGCTCCCCTCGGAACGAGGCCTCGCCTGATACTGCGGCACTTCGAGTTGCCCCGCTGGAGGGACGGATGGTGGGTTTAGTGGGGCAAGGCCGTACACATAGGGGCCTATCAATAGCGAAAAAAGTGAAAACTGTGCCGCATACGGCATGCCACGCCGCGTCACGGCGGAGAAGGGAAGGCGGGTAGAGGAGAGAAGGCGAGCGGAGACGAGGGGGGGGGAGGTAAGGACGCAGGGAGTGGAGAGGGGGGAGAGGCAGAGGGCAACGATGGCGTGGTGGCCCAATGGGGGGGGGTGAAGAACAGGGCCCTGAAAGGGGCACTTCGTGGCCCGTTGTGGAGCCAGCTGGGGCCCAAAAGGAGCCCTGCAGTGCCCCTTTGGGGACAGTTTCTTCACCCCCCAGCTGGGTCACCCCCCATTACTATTACGTCGGGCCTGTCCTCCTACAGGGGGATTGTGGACAAACATTTTAAACAAGTAACACGAAACTGCCCCACAAAAGTTAGACAATACTCGATAAATCGTCCCCAGACTATTCCTCCTGTAGAGGGACAGGCCCGACTTAACATTACCACCCGCACGATTCTCTCCTTCCGACCTCCGGGGGTCCCCGGTGTGCCGACCCCTTCGGCCTGCAGACGACTCCAGAAGAGCCCAACAGGCCGCCCCAGAGCGGCCACAGGACACCCTGAGATCCTCCAGCTGGCCATCGCTCGGACGTCCATTCCCTGTGCTTTTTTCGGTTTCGTGAGTGTTTTTTGGTTGCTCGATGGTCCAGGATGGTCCTCCATAATTCTCGCCGAGAAAAAATGCACACGTCCGAGCGATGCCAAGCCAGAAGACGGCCCCTCGTGGCCCAAAAGAGGCTACGAAGATCTCCGGGGGCCCCCGGGAACTGAGGAGAACCTGCGGGACAACTATATCCTGGATTGCACGCCCAGTGAGACGAAGCCAGGACGAGGATAAGATCGGGTAAGGAAAATTAGAGAATCTCTGAGATCCAACGGCTCTGGAGGACGTCTCGGGCGCCGCGGACTTCTCGGAGCGGCCCGGAAGGCTCTGAGAGCGTTCCGGAACGCTCTGTCCTCGCTCAAGCCCCGCCCGATCAAGCCGCAGTCACAGTAGAGCCGCATCCTGGATCCCACGGGGCTCAGCTTTCCCTGCCCGGGGCCAGGCTCTCCTCCTCGACAGGCGTTCTGTGCACGGCCCCGGAGCCTGGAGAAGCCTCTGCAGAGCGCGACAACAGCGAAAGACGTTCAAGATTTCGGCTACACGCAGGAGTAACCCTGTCGGCGGCGAGCGAGGGGGGGAAGTGAGAAGGAGAAGGCCTTCTCAGAAGGCTCGGAAGTCCCCTGGCCTTCCTCTGAGCCTTCCCCGGAGGCACAGAAAGCTTCTCAGAAGGCGCGAGAAGGCTTCTGAGAAGTCCCGCCGCCTTCTAAGAAGGCCTTCTACTTCTCACTTCCCCCCATTGCTCGCCTTATGCTGCTCCCATCGCACTTAAGGACCACATCCCAGAAATAATTCCGAGCGCCCAACAAAGTGTCGAAACAGTGTCGAACGAGTATCGCCTCCCAGGACCCGACTCGTGAAAACCTCACAAATTCGGTGCTTGCCTGGTGCTCGAAATTCTTTCTGGTGGTCAAAGCTAAAGTAGGTTGGAACATCCTAACGCTCGCCGCCGACCCTAGGCAACAATAGGGAATATGTCGACCCCTATCCGAGGCGTCCAGGATTTTTTTCGAAGAAGCCAGGAAATTGAGGCCCAACCCTGGGATATACGATGGAGCGGCGCCCCTCCTCCAGTTGGGGTGCGTCCGAATAGCCCTCTGGGGGTGTATCCCAGGGCTTCCCCCTTCTTATGGGAAACTATTTGGCAGCATGCTTCCTCTCCATTGGTCCTCCACAAGCCTAGCAGAAGTCTACATCCCTCCCCCGCGCCCGGTCCGCTGTCCTCGAGCAGTCGTTTTGTTTGTCGTGCGGCCACGGGCCCAGCGAGAGCGGAGATGGCAGGGCGCAGACTGCCCTCGGGTCGGGCATGTCCCTCTGCAGGCGAATATTGTGAGAGACAAATAAAACATAGCCACACGATGGTCCAGAAAACGCGAACATAGTCCAAACATCGTGCCCAACCGCATTTGTATTTTACTATTCTTGGGTATTCCTCCTGTAGAGGGACACGCCCGACTTAAGACTGCCCCAGACCTCCACCCTGACACCCTAGGATCTGAAACTTTCCGTCCGCGGCCCCCAGCAGTCCTGCCGGGAAGAGGAGGAGGAGGAGGAGGAGGAGGAGGAGGAGGAGGAGGGGAGGAGGAGGTGGACGAGGAGGAGGAGGAGGAGGAGGAGGAGGACGGAAGCGGCGGAGAAGGAGCTGCGCCGCGCCCGGGCTCCGCTTCTGGCACGGCCCCGGGGCCTGCGAACGGCCCGAGGGCCGAAACCTTCATCGGGGGGCCCTGTCGTCGGGACTGCTGGGCCAGCGGTGAGCCACGAGGTGCCCTGGGGGCAACCGAGAGTTGAGCAGGGACCGACCGTCCCGGCATTCCTATAGTCGTACCACGAACTGTTCTTAGAACACACCGATGTTCTTAGAACATAAACCCGATGTGATAAAACAAGACAGACTCCGCCAGAAATGTTCTAACATTTTGTGGAAACCACAAAAGGTTCTTAGAACATTGTTTGGTAGGGCTATGGGCGAGCCAGGACGCTTCGCCACTGCTTGAGAGAGGTACCGACACCGCTACGCCACGGATCTCAATTTCGAGGCTCATCCAGCCGTGGCGGCACGGGCTCCCAGGAGGCCAACAAAAAGGCGAAACCGACCGCCATGAATCCATCACGACGTGGATCCCCAGAGGTCTGGACCCCTTCCCAGGGACCGGCTTTTCACCCCGAGTCGTCTTTCACGGTCCTGGGGCCCGGCGCGGGCCTCTGGACTCCGCAAATGGCCAAACACCTCCCGACGTGATTTGCTTTCTAGGACGCGAGCGCGTCTGGGTTTCCTCCTCTTCGATCTGCGGAACCTCATGGGAGCCTCGAGTAGCTTCTTGTTCGCCCTTGCGAACCGGCGCTGATCGACGCTAATCAACGCTTCATCGGCGATGATCGGCGCTAGTCAACGCAAGATCGTCGCTACTGGACGCTACGTTGGCGCTACCCCACCGACCACCAGACGCCAATCGGCATGAACGCGCTCTAGAGATGCAGTGACGAGGGTGCACGAAGTTCCCATGATTTGCTTCCGAACTCCTCTGATAGAGGCCTCCTAGATGGGGTCGGAGAAGATGGGGTCGGAAGATCGCGCTGCATCGCCGATACATCGGCGATACATCGGCGATGCATCGGCGATGCATCGTCGATGCACCGGTAATGCATCGGCGACGTCTCGACGTGAAGCAACACGGGCTGCTAATCGAGCCGCATCGGCGAGGCATCGGAGATGCGGCACGATCCTCCAACCAAAATTCGGTTGACCCGAAGAGGGCTCCAGCTGAAACAGGGTGGTGCAATTGGTTTGGGGCAATTGTATTACGAATGTACTGCGCCAGAGAAAGATATTCCATTGTATTGTAACTTACGTATCCCGCGCGAGAGCCCAGCCGTACATTTGCGCACCGGAACTGATTGCACGCCCCTAAATCGGTTGCAACCCTGAACATCTGCTGCACCAGATCTACTGCACCACCTCCTTGTCGCTGGACCCCCTGTTGGGTCAACCAGACCCATCCACTCTGACCCCATCTGGGAGGCCTAGATCTGAGGCCACAGCCCGTCGAACCTTGGCGGCGCGCATAAGGAGGCAGGGGGAGGGCGGGAGGCTTCTTAGAAGCAGGCTGCCCCTTCGAAGGCGCCCGCCCTACATCTGCAGAGAAGGCCCGCGCCTTCTGCGAAGCAGGGGTGCTTCTAAGGAGCCTTCCCTCCTCACCCTACCCAGACCCCCGACGTCGTGATTGTTTCACAGCGTCGACCCCCAGTGGCTTGGACCCTTTCCCCAGGACCCGTGTCTCATCCCGAGTCGTTGTTTGACGGTCCCAGGGCCCGGCAGGGGCCCCCAGAGGCCGAAAATAACGAAAAACCTCCCGCCGTGATGTCTTGACTGCGCGAGGGAGTCTGGGTACCCCCCCTCTGCGCGTGGCCCTTCCCCTCCTCCTGCTCCTCCTGCTCCTCCTGCTCCTCCTCCTCCTCCTCCTCCTCCTCCTCCCCCTCCTCCTCACCCTCCTCCTCCCCCTCCTCCCCCTCCTCCTCCTCCTCCTCCTCCTCCTCCTCCTCCTCCTCCTCCTCCTCCTCCTCCTCCTCTTGTCTCCCGCGGGGCGCGGCATCCGGGGGCGCGGCCTGCGCCAGCTGCGGGACCAGGCCCCCGGACTGCAGCGCGTAGCGCAGGCTGTCCACGGCGGGCAGCACGTAGCACAGCGCGGAGGCCAGGCGCGTCAGGGGCCCGGTGTCCTCTGTGGCTGCCAGGAGGGGAGGTCGCCGGCGATGCCGGGCGGCAAGCTGGCGGGGAAAGGCGAAGGAAACCCATGCATGACCGCTGACACAGAGCAGGACGTCGCGCGACTGGGAAGGAGAAAGGGCCTCCGCAGAAGGCTCGGCAGGCCTCGCGCCCTCCGAGGAGTGGCCGCACCGCCCCCCCCCCCCCGAAGAGGCGCCGAGCGCCTGCAGAGGGCGCGAGAGGGCTTCCGAGAAGCCCCGCCGCCCTCTGAGCAGGCCTGCTCCTTCTCACTTAAGAGGAACTCAACGGGATTGGGCGGGATGAAGCCGGATGCAGCCGGACTTCGGACCAGGGCAGAATCAGAATTTGACCTCCCAGGAGTTGCATCCGAATCTCACTCCCCCCCCGGCGCGCCGCCGATTCTGGAGATCTCCGACGACACGCACATCGTCGGAGGTCGAACGAGCAGCCCTGCTGTCTCCAACCCCTCGCTCTTGGCCTGCGGGGGCCGCCACAGGGGCCCCCCCTTGCAGGACCCCCAGGAGAGGGCGCAAGACTGGCCCCAGGAAGGGGTCGGGAGCTCCTTGCCCCACGTGGAAGGGTCGCGGGGTGGGTCGCGGGGTGGGTCGCGGGGTGGGTCGCGGGTGGCTCGCGGGGTGGGTCGCGGTGTGGGTCGCGGGTGGGTCGCGGGGTGGGTTGCGGTGTGGGTCGCGGGGTGGGTCGCGGGGTGGGTCGCGAGTGGGTCGCGGGCGGGTCGCGGGGTGAAACGCAGGGAAGTCGCGGGCGTGTCGCAGGGGGGGGCGACGCCGCAAAACAAGCAGAATCCTCGCCGTGGATCCCCACTTCAGCCACGCACCCAGGGACAGTAAATGATCGTTCGGCCCCCTCACTCTGATGAAGTAGGAAGGCATTAGAAGTAGAGTGGGTCTCCGCCCCCTGAAGAGGAGGGCAGAGGGAACACCGCTAGACTTTAGAGGTAGGCATGCGCCTAAGGTAGATTGGGATCTGGGCGTCCAGAACTACCCATGGACCAGCTGTTGACTGTGTCTGGGGGCTGCGAAAGCCTCCGGGGGCATCCGGGGACATCTGGGGCAACAGTCAAACCTACGGCTCGTCGTCGTCGAGTTCGGAGTCGACGTATTCGTCGTCGGGAATTGAAGAACGAGGATCGGTGTGTGTGTGTGTGTGTGTGTTTGTGTGTGTGTGTGTTTGTGTGTGTGTGTGTTTGTGTGTGTTTGTGTGTGTGTGCGTGTGTGTGTGTGTGTGTGTGTGTGTGTGTGTGTGTGTGTGTGTGTGTGTGTGCGTGCAGATGTTTGAAAGGAAGAGGAGGATAGTGAAGTGGGATGCTGGGATGAAACGGTATGGACGGGGGGAGGTTGGAACAGTGAATGGATTGGGATTGAGGAGGGGACGAAGGTGGAAAGGAGCGGGCGAGGAGGATGGTGCTAAGAGGAGGAGGAGGAGAAGGGAGGAGGGGGTGCAGGCGGGGGGGGGGATGAAACGGATAGAGAGAGGTGACGATGAAGATGCTGCTGCTGAGAATGGTCATGCTGCTCATGCTGATTGTGGTTATGCTGATGCGGATGATACAGAAAGGCTGGGATGGGACGAGGAAGTGGCGAAGGGAAGAGCGGATGGAGGAGGGTGAGGAGAATGATGGGGGAGGAAAAACGGGAAGCGGAGGAGGAAGAGGAGGGGAAACACACTTAGAAGAATAATGCACAGGATGCATATAATCTCGTTGCTCCTCTGCATCACCCTGCTCCCTGTCATCGCGATACACCTGTAGTCTTCCTGTGGGTACCCCGTACCACCAATACGCCGCCGCCTCTTCCTCAGGCCCCTTTCGCCCCTTTGTCCACTTTGATCGGTCGCATCAGTTTGCTGCATATTCTGCGACTTCACCATGTCACTTCCCATCCTTGCGGCGAAACGATACAACATCCGCGACGAAAACAAACGGGTCTGACGCAAGAAGACGCTGCGACCTGACGCCGCGGCTCACGCGGGCCGCCAGAGTGGCCCACCGCGTGGAGAAGAGGGCGTTTGCGCGCGACCTGACGCGGGAAACTTACGCGCGAAGGTCCGCGCAATCGACCCCGTAATCTTCCGTCGCTCCTCGGGTGACGTCTCCAAGCACGTCTCGCCGATGGCATGTCAAGATCACCATGTGGCGGGGCCGAACACCCAACTGGGACGCCGTGACCCTGCGTCGCACGGATCCCCTGAGCCGCGCCCCTGCTGGCCAACGCCCACGTGGCGATGACAAGGATACGCATACCCCACACCGCGCACTGACCACCCCCTCCAAACTGCGGCCCCGCTCGACGGCCGCTACACCCTCCCCCGCGCCCTCACTCGTGCCGAATCCACCCCCTAACGCGGCCCGACACCCCCACGCGTCCTGCGAGGGACAACAGGAGCAGAACACGTCTACATGAAGGTGGGCGGGCTTCGATCGAAACATGGTTTACATCTGTCGTTGAACGTGCGACGCTCGCGGACCTGCCCCGAGCGAGATCCACTATACTCTGAGCGGGGGGGTGGAGAACATAACGTCATGGCCATCCTGCTGCCGCAATCCATTATGGTCCTACCCCCCGCGCAAACCCCCCCAGCGATGGTTGAACAGCTCTGAGTGCGCTTCTGCTGTGCGGAACTCCAGCGGCAGCAGCAGGTTGGCGGCGAGCGAGGAGGGAAGTGAGAAGGAGAAGGCCTTCTCAGCAAGCGGCGGGGCTGTTCGGAAGCCCTGCGGCCTTCTCAAAGGTGGTTCCCGCGCCTTCGGGGACGGCTTAGACAACTTCTCGGAAGGCCGGGGGGTCCCGCCCCGAGGAGGAGGAGGAGGAGGAGGAGGAGGAGGAGGAGGAGGAGAAGGGGGAGGAGGAGGAGGGGAGGAGGGAGGAGGAGGAGGAGGAGGAGAGGAGGAGGAGCGGAGGAGGAGGAGGAGGAGGAGGAGGAGGAGGAGGAGGAGGGGGAGGAGGAGGAGGAGGAGGAGGAGGAGGAGGAGGAGGAGGGGAGGGAGGGGGAGGAGGAGGAGGAGGACGAGGAGGAGGAGGAGGAGGAGGAGGAGGGGCAACTGGATCGGCGCCGCACTGCAGCCGCCCGCTGACTCCCTGCAGAGTCGTGCAAACCAAACCAGGCGCGCCCGGGACGGGCGCCAGCCAGGGGAGAAGGCGGAGCTGCGCGGCACGACCGAGCCCCATCTTTCTAAATCGGCGGCGAGCGGGGGGGAAGCGAGAAGGAGAAGACCTTCTCACAAGGCGGCGGGCTTCTCAGAATGCCTCGGGCCTTCTGAGAGGCTCTCTGTGTCCTCGGGGAAGGCTTAGAGAAATTCTCAGGAGGCCGGGGGGGGTCCGAGCCTTCCGAGAAGGCCCGCCCCTCCTCACTTCCCCCCTGGGCTCGCCGCCGACGATAGGCAGTTGTTCCTCGATCTCGGCCTTGGTGCACATTGCACCCGAGTCCCCCGCAGACACTTCTGTGCTGGCCACCCGAGGCCAAGAATGGCGCGCCAGCAAGGTCAGCACACGAGGAGAAAAAACATGGAGGAGATGAAGACCACGAGGAGACGGAAGAAGGAGAGGAGGAAAAGGAGGAGGAGAGGGGGGAGAGCGGGGAGAGGAGGATGAGGAGAAAGAGAAGGAAGAGGAGATGGAGATGATGATGATGTTGATGATGATGATGATGATGATGATGATGATGATGATGATGATGCTGATGCTGCTGATGATGATGATGATGATGATGATGATGATGCTGATGATGCTGATGATGATGCTGATGATGATTGTGATGATTATGGTGATGATGATGGTGATGACGACGATTATGCTGCTGATGATGCTGGTGCTGATGATGATGATGATGCTGATGATGATGCTGATGCTGATGATGTTGATGATACTGCTGATGCTGTTGATGATGATGATGACGATGAGGAGGAGGATGACGATGACGAGGCAGAGGGGGAGGAGGAGGAGGAGGAGGAGGAGGAGGAGGAGGAGGAGGAGGAGGAGGAGGAGGAGGAGGAGGAGGAGGAGGGGGGGAGATGGAGATGGAGATGGAGGAGGAAGAGGAGGAGGAGGAGGAGCAGAAGGAGGGACAACCTGATCGGCGCCGCACTGCAGCCGCCCGCTGACGACGAAGATGATGATGAGGATGAGGATGAGGATGAGGAGGAGGAGGATGAGGAGGAGGAGGAGGATGCAGAGGGGGGGGGGAGGATGAGAAGGAGCAGGGGAAACAGAAGGAGAAGGAAGAAGCGGAAGAGAAGGAGGAAGAGGAGGAGAGGAGGAGGATGAGGATGAGGGGGGGAGGAGGAAAGGACGCAGGCCAGGATGGCGGAGCATGGGCAGGGAGGCAACAGAGGGAGGGGGTGCGGACAGGCACGGATGGGAGGAGAAGGAGGAGGAGGAGAAGGAGGAGGGGAGGAGGAGGAATAGGATAATGAGGAAGGATGATGCTGAGGAGAGGAGCGGGAGGAGGGGGGGAGCAGGAGGCGGGAGAGCAGGAGGACGGGAGACGAGGAGGAGGAGAGGAGGAGGAGGAGGATGAGGAGGAGGAGGAGGAGGAGGAGGAGAAGAGGGGGAGGGGGCGGGGGCGGGGAAGGAGGCGAGCGGAGGAGAAAGGAAGAGAGGAGAAAGAGATGAGGAGGAGGAGGGAGGGGAGGAGGAGGAGGAGAAGGAGGAGGGAGAGGGAGGAGGAGGAGAAGGAGGAGGAGGAGGAGGAGGAGGGAGGAGGAAGAGGAGGAGGGAGGGGAAGGGGAGGAGGAGGAGGAAGGAGGAGGAGAGGAGGAGGAGGGAGGAGGAGGGGAGGAGGGAGGAGGAGGAGGAGGAGGAGGAGGAGCGGGAGGAGGGGGCGGGGCTAGGAGGCGGCAGAGGAGGAAGGAGGAGGAGGAGGAGGAGGAGGAGGAGGAGGAGGATGAGGAGGAGGAGGAGGAGGGGGAGGAGAAGGGGGAGGAGGAGAAGGAGGAGGAGCAGGAGGAGGAGGAAGAGCAGGAGCAGGAGGAGGAGAAGGAGCAGGAGGAGGAGGGGGATCAGACATGAGGAGGGAACAAACGGAGGAAGAAGGAACAGAAGAGGCCTATCGCCTGGACTCCTGCTGTGCTTATCAGCCCTGGGGGGGTGCCCGCGGGACTGGGCAACTTTCCAGCCTGGGGTAACGCCGTCCACTGGCCCTTCGGTATCCGCCCCTGCGGGTGCCTGGGCCGCCGCTGCCCCAGAGGGACAGAGGAAGGAGGGATGGGAATGGGCAAGAGGTTGAGCAAGGATCGACCGTCCCGGCATTCTTATAGGCCTACCACGTCACGCTTTTAGAACCCAAATAGCTGTTCTAGGAACAACGATCCTGTTCTTAGAACAGAAACCCGGTGTGCTAAACAAAGCAGCGTCGGCCAGACATGTTTTAAGAACATGTCGTGCAGACCACTAACGGTCCTTAGAACTTTGGTGGGCCTGTAGCGAAGCCGGGACGCTTCGCCACTGCTCGTGGAAGGGAGCTTTCATTTTTTCCTTCACGATATCCCCAGGCTGCGCTCTGCTGCAACCCGAGGCCTGAGATGAAGGGAACGCGGCCGCCTGGCGGGGTGGCGCCTCCTACCACTTGCGCCACCCACGGGCTTCAGGTCAAGCTCGGAGACTCGCTCGCACCTCCGCCGCTTCGCTCAGCCAGAGCGGCTCTGCTGGGCCATCGGGGGCACCCGGCGGGAGGTCGAGGAGGGATACTCTTGGAGCCGCGCGCTCTCCACCTGACATGTGCCCTACCGCTGACCGGTGGGCAGCGGCCGTTGCTGCCCTCGTGCCCTGCCTACCTCCCCGGGGAGGCAGGGGGGAGGCGCCGGCAGTGACCTGCCCGCCCTGGGAGCGTGCACGAGCACCGGCGCGGGGAGCTTCCCCCCCCACCCCCCCACGGAGGGCTCCGTGTTGGACTCGGGCAGCGTGTCCAAGTACTCGCTCAGCATGGCGTCTCCCCTCCCCCCCTGAACCTCACCGGCCTCCCGTTCATGCTGCTCCTCCTCCTCCTCCTCCTCCTCCTCCTCCTCCTTCTCCTACTCCTCCTCTGTCATTCCTTCCTTCTCCGCTTCCGACACCTCCTCCCCCTCCGTTCTTCCCTGCGCCGCCACGATCATCCTCCTCCTCCTCCTCCTCCACCTCCTCCTCCTCCTTCTCCTCCAGCTCATGGTCCTCGTCCTCGTCCACCTTGCAAATGGTCTCTCCATGAAGCATTGTCCTGTAACATGATCAAGCGCAGTCCTGGCAGAAGATGGTCCGGCTTGCATAAACCCTCCGACGCAACGTCACGCACAGAGGCTCCAATGAGTCGTTGTGCAGGTGCTTTCGCTCAGTGATGGGCAGTGGAGCAGCAGCGTTGTACAGCAAGCCGCGGTCGGGACGACATCGTGATTCAAAATGCCTGCAATTGCGGAGCCGCCGCACGAGACGCAGAGGCCATCGGTGAACGTCACGCCCGACTGGAAGCATGAAACTACCATTTCCAAGTGGGGGGGCAGCTCCACGCAGCCGTGCGCGCGGCCTTGCGGGCAAGTTTCTTGTGAACCCTCGAGTAGCAGCCACATCGTCTCCCTCTTCGTCCCCCTCCCTGCCTCCTCCGCCAGCCACCGCCGCCCCATCCTCGTTCCTCCCCCCCTCCTCCTCTCTCTCACACACACCGCCCCGTCCCAACCTCCTCCCCCCCCTCCTCCCTCCTCCCCTCAAGCCGACGCCTGGGTGCGCCGTGGGGCAGGCGGTGCTCGCAAGAGGCGGCAGGGGAACGGCACGTGCCTCGCCATAGTGCCATGCACAGCGTGGACCCCATGTGCCCGGGCCCCTCGCGCGCCGCCCGGGGTCCGGACACGGCCAGGGCGCCTCGCGCGCCCCCGCGGCCCTCAGGCGAGGGCCGCATTCCTAGCCTATCCTGTCCTCCTGTCCTGTCCTCCCCCCTCCCCGTCGCATCCCCGTCCGCCGCCTTCTGCCCTGTCCTACTATTCCCCTCTCCCCGTCACATCCCCCCCTCTCTCTCTCCCCCCCCCCTTTTCCCCCTGCCGCCTCCCCTCTGTTTCCTCGCTCTGCCTGGGCCCGCTCTTCCCCCCCATTTCCCTCCCAATCCACCAGCCGTCTTCCCCATCCCATTCCAGTCCTCTCCGACTCCGCCTCCTCCTCCCTGAACTCTGTCCCCGCAGCTATTTTGGCTCAAGACGGAGCTCACCTCCCGTCCCGACTCCAGAGGCCCGAGACCGAGGTGGAAGGGCCTCACCGTCCCAACCAGCATTGCGGCGAAAATGTGGAAGCCCGCAGCCATTGCGCGCCTGATGGGCTATTTCGCACCCTTTTCGATAGCGGGGCGGCGGCATGGTGGCTCGGAAGTACAGGGTATGCCCCAAGCGATCGTGCAGTCTCTGTCCCGCGACCACAACTCGGCGAGTGACTCGCGACGGCGTTGCGTGCCTGGACGACCAGGCCTGAAACATCAGAGCCAAGACAACCTGGCCTCAGAGAAAGACGGACCACCACCACCCCTTGCAATGCGTGGCCACGCCGGGCAGCCTCTTGGGGTGCTGAGCAGATGTAGGAGCACGGCGAACGTGGACGCGGGCGTTGGCCGCGCGCTGGTTTGCGAGCTCCTCATAGCGTACCAGACGATCCAGCAGAACAGCAGCCGTCGCCAGTGGAGTTGGCACAGGCACAATTTGCGCTCTGGAAACAGTGGGTGGGTGATCAGTCGAAGCGGTACGGAGATGCCATCGGGGCCCTCGAGCAGGCCAAACGGATCGCAGTGGCGGACAAGACACCAGGTGAACAAACCGAAAATATGAAGGACCAGCTCTCGCAGCAGAAGCGGAAACTGTCCACCTAGAAAACCCAGATCGACAGCTACAGCCACCAGGTTGCGAAGCTGGCTGCCAAACAGGTCAAGGCCACCAGCGAGTGTCACAAGTCCACGCTGGACGCACAGAGGTTGGAAGCGCAGCTGCAACGGGCTCCACTGGTGGCGGCGACGGCGATCGCCTGCAGAGGGACCATGACGGAGGCGTTCAAGACGCTCATTCCGTCGAGGATGCCGACGCCACAACGGGCTTTACCACCAGAGCTGGACATCAAGCTCGCGACAATGTCATCTCTACTCGACATACCCGTTCCAGTCAGCAGCCGAAGCCGTCAGCCAACGAAGGCGACCGAGCACCAGCTGCCCCTGATGCATCTGCTCCAGGCCCTGCAGCAGCAGCAGCACCAGCAGCTGGCGATGCGGCGGTGGCGGCAGCGCAAGTACAACCGGCAGCGGTGTAGGGCTCGACCTCCCAGCAGGCAGCGATGATTATGACGCGGACGAGCTCATGATGCAGGCGAAGAAGAGGGCTGCGGAAACGCCCGAGATGGTCTCACGACAGCTACTGGAGGCTGGTCTGGGAGCAGATAGTGCGGCCAAGAGACTCAAGTCAGCTCACGAGGCGATCCTCAGCACCAAAACTGAGGTCAGCACGACGGAGGCGCAGGGTGGGCAACACCATCGGCATCCTCGCGATCAGCGGCCGCTGCTGGAACGCCGTCAAGCGGCGGATCGAGGACCCGCTGTAGAGAGCAACCACATCACATGCGCGCAGGAGGTTAAGTTGCGCACCGAGGCTAGCATCGCGCAGGCAAGCTAACGATGCGAGTGTAGAAGTTGGAAACCGGTACTCTAGGCAGGCGCACTCTGTTCGAGTCAGACTCCATCAGCGGGGTTTTTTGTTTGACCTGAGACGGTCTGGATTTGGGAACGCGTCCGATGTGCTTCCCCACGGAAGCTAACAGTTTCATGCCCCAGGGAACGACGGCTGGAGCCATTCTCGAAAAGCCTGGGATTGGAGGAGATGGTCTACTTTCTATCAACACGCAGGTCAGTACCTGCCTGGACCAGACTAATCTGGGTCTGCTTGCTGCAGCTGCCATTGTCCCCGAGGCTGCACAGGGCTCCTTCCTCCTGGAAGGGGGGGCCTAACAACAATCCCAACAAGCTCAGATACCACGCGTGTGTGCAACGAGCCAGCATGCGTGTGGTATGCCCCAGGAACCTCGACACTCAGGGCCACGAGTACTCAGAGTACCTTGGATCGTGTAACGGGAAGCAGTTGCCTAGGACACGTCTTGGGGTATCCTCAGGTTCACCATCAGTATCCTCTCTGCCCGAACCGACCAATGGCTATTGCCACTGCAATAGATGCCAGCTTCACTGCGCCCGATCTGCAAAAGCCGCAACGCGTTCCTTCCCGGCCAGTGGTTGGTCTCAGACGTCCACGGCGAGAGAGGAACGCTACGGCGGCCGCGCTGAACGCAGCCACGCACTTGCTAGCCTGTGATGCCCAGCGCCCCGAACCGCAGCAGACTCAAAGAGTTGTGGACCAGGTATATCCTCTTCTGGCCGGGGGCTAGGGAAACACGGTTCCCGATTTGACGGATACGGTTTTGAACCCCGGTTCGAGACCTCCACGGGCCAAATGGAGAGAAACATCCCATGCACTCTTTTTTTGGTCGCGGGCGGACGCGGAATCGCATTCGCCGAGCTGAGAGGTCTGGGCCACGGGCCTGTCAAATTAGCAACGCGCGAGCCTAGGAGCACACTGGCCGAGCCGGGAATCGGAACCTATAATTCGAGTTCCCTGGAAGCCGCATGCAGGCTCGGGCCTGGCGTGAGCGGGTCCAGGAAGGCACTCGGGGCAGTGCTGGATGGGCTCATCGCTGGACGGAGTCCCTGGACGCGTGGCAGCCCTCCAGGGTACCCCGTGAAGGATGCATGCCTGGGCGCCCCAGTAGGATCCTGCGAGGCGGGTGGGCTCAGCAATCCTTGGAAGGCGTCCAGTACCAGGCCAGAAAACGGCATAAGCCCAGGCCATCTGGGGCGACAGCTACCAGGACTGGAGCCCGAAAATCTGACCGAAGCCCCTAGGATTTTCTTTCACGTGACGTCCCCACTGTGGGACGGGCTTCACCCAAAGCACTTTCAGTACCTTTTCAACCGATCAGGCGAGGATCGTCTGCCGCTTCCTCGACCTAATCGGGCTCGCAGGAGGCACGCCCAGCCAGTTGCAGGCTGCTGTTTTGGTGCTGCTTCCCAAGGCCAGAAAGAACACAACTTAACCTGAGTTTCGGGGCATTGACATGATGCCAGGCTTGTACTGGCTCCAGAGTTAAGTCCGACAGCATCAAGCTAGGCGTTGGGAACCAACGCGCAGGATTATTTCTTGGCCAACCATGCGGGCACGTCAATCACAGAAGCAGCTTTGTTTGCGGAAAAGCCTCGAGGCAGAGTGCAGGGTGACTCGGCAAGAGCCCCTGTACTCGGGAGTGGTGCAGTGGGATCCTACCAGTTCGTAGCAGGTTTTTGGCTAACAGAAGCTCCTTGAGAGGGACCACGACACCTTGCCGTCGCTCGGACGTCCATTTCCCGTACATGTTTCGTCGATGGCCCAGGATGGTCCTCGATAGTTCTCGCCGAGAAAAAATGCACACGTCCGAGCGATGCCAAGACACCAGCCTGCGCAGCGTCTCTCTGAAGACCTTTTTGAACCAGTACAGCAGTCAGAGGCTGGCCGCGAGCAGAGATCCCGTTTCGATGGTCGACTGCACGACTCGAGGCACGTCAGCTGGCTGCGAGTGGGCCACCTTCCTGAAAGGCCGTGGGCCACTGGAGGCCCGGAACTCCAGGAACCCTGAAAACACTGAATTCCAGATGCTCTTAGACGACCTCTAGCCGGCCCACCGGCATAAGATAGCCCAAACACCCTAGTATATAGCGCTGCTGGGTTCCCGAGGGCTCGAACCAAACACAAGATAGCCAAGGCCATCTTGTATAGCAAGTTCACAAAACATCGTGGTAAGAGGCATCGGAACTGGGCGACCACGGTGGCGGGAGGAGACATTAGGAAGCTCTGGAAGGTGGATCCCAGCAAGAGATCACGTACGGGTCGGCGATGGAAAGAGTTGCCGAGAGCGAGCTGCGAATACTCATGTCGGAAGACCTGCGGACAGCAGGACCTCAATCTTGAAGTGCCCGGCTGGGAGTTTGTTCCGGATTTGACTATGCTAGACGAGAACGGATTATATTATCCGCTCACGACTTGCACCCTTACACTTCTGGCCCGCAAGATGCAGACGGCCTGGGGGAGGCTCACATTAAAACGCGCCACCGACAAGCCAGGTTATTCCCAGGAAGTCCTCCATGTGAGTGCCGCCCGAGGGTTAATCTAATGAGATGAGCAGGGCAAGGGTTTGGTCGACGCCAGTATGTCTTCTCACGCAACGTATCTGGACGCATGATATGCCCATCTCTGCAGGCTCCCACGTTGAGCCTGAGTGTGCATGTCAAGCATCGTCATCATCATGCCACAGGCACTACACTGGCACACAGCGTCATGAACAACGTGCCAAGACCGCTGCGCTCAGAGAGGCCTTGTTCCAAAGACCAACTCGAAAAAATAGTGATTCTGACCGACCTGATCCTGTCCGTCGGCTTGCAATGGTTGCCCGATTTCGGCACGAGGCCCCCTGCTGGATTCGGCTACGAAAATTTGAGCAGGGACCGACCGTCCCAGCATTCCTATAGTCATACCACGACATGTTCTTAGAACCCGAAGATGAAATGTGCTAAGAACATGTCCTGGAAACCTCAAAAGGTTCTTAGAACATTGCTTGGTAGGGCTATCGGCGAGCCGGGACGCTTCGCCGCTGCCTGAAAAATGCGGAGCCCTCGTGTCGGGACCCCGACGTGTCGCCACAGCGAGCCTTCCCGGGGAACAGTTCTCACGGACCGCTCGTGCAGCACACCGAGGGGGTACATCGAGTACATAGCCCAGCAGGTTTCTAGCAGGGCATCGACTACAGAATTGACTTACCCCAGAATTGATGTTCTCGTCGAGTGCGCGAAGATACACGACCATTCTACGCATTGCTCGCAGATTCGAAGGGAATATCAATTCTGGGGCAAATCAATTATGTAGTCCACCCCCTACTCAAAGGTTGGGCGACAGCGGCAGCAGGTGCTCACGGAGACCTGCACGCACATCGCACATATATGATAGGGAGGGCTGGCAGTCTCTCGCCCCACACCTCCCCAGCTGCGCATCAATATGGAGTGTGTGCGGCAGGGCTCCGCTCGTGCCCACAGGCCGACTTGTATGTTGACAAGTAGCAAGTAGGGCGCCAGAGACGTGCACCAAAAGGCCATGTTTTCCCGATCGGATCTTTCTTATGGCGCCGTGCCGCGTTGGCTCCCCTCGGTCCCAAGATCCGCAAAGCTACGGCGCGCGTGAACGCTGATGAGCTGACCCATGGTCTCGACCAGTGGCGACACGCCAAGAGTGACGACGCTGCTGACCGCATGGCGAAGGTCCCCAGCCCGGCTGGCTGGAGACCGAATCCGCCGAGGGCGAGAGAGAGAGAGACAGCGAGCTGGTCGGCAAGTAGGTGCAGTTTGTCTCGGACGGCCTCCAGATTTGGCCCACCGTGGCCCCCAAGGCGGGACCCAAAGGTTTGGATGCGCCCGTCGAGTCTCTCAGCCCGCCCACGGGGGCGGCGGAGGCGGCGGGGCCCTCCAGGTGACTGGGACCTCTTCCTCCATTTCCCAAGCCTCGTGCTCCCGAGACCCAAAAGCCCAGCAGGGCCCACCAGCCAAAGCCACGCCCACGGCGATGCTGGTCAACGGCGGTGTCGGGAACCTGGTTCCTGTGACGACGAATTCGCGCAGAACGAATGGCAGGAAAGCGCAAACGAGCCTTTCCTACAACTGGGTTGGCCACGAACCACCTGCACCTACAACACCGAAATCTATATCGCCGTTGCCTACATCGCCGTCAGCGTGTCTACGGACCAACGGCACAAGTTAGGAACTCGGAGGATTTGCGCGGTGTGTAGAATCAGATATGGCAGCGTGAGAGTCCTTGCCACCAGGTGCAGCGAGCATTGTCCAGGATATTGTGAGCACCGCGCTGCCCTTACCACCAAGCCCCGAGACCGCGATGTCCACGACCTCAACTATTCAGACGAGAGCGTTCCGCTCATCGTGTTGCTCTGCCGCCGATGCAGCTGTGTCAACAAAACCGATTCCTGAGGTTCTCACACGGATTGCCCGAGGGTGTGCCTTAAGACCGGCAGGGCCCTCCAGCCCTCCAGCTACTGGAGGGCATGCACCCGAAGGGAACCGTAGGCTCCCCGATGACTTTGCGGCCCCAACAAACTGCGCCTGGACCAGGTCGTCAGAGGGCTCAGAGGGGACTCCCGCCGAGCAAGGCCGGCCGAGACAGCCGAACTCATCATTCAATCTGCGTGCTGGTCCCCCTCCTCCGTCTTCCCTCCTCCTCATCCTCCTCATCCCCCCCTCCTCCCCGTCCCGTCTCCGTCCTTCCACGGCAGCGGGGGGGAACGCAGATGCCGGCTTGGCCGTAGTTTGCGGGGGGCCCTCCTGCTGGGGAGCACTGGTGTCACCCGCGTTCGCGGGTCTGGGCGGGAGTGGGCCCGTCCACGCGCCCATGTCGCCCGGCGCATTCCTGCCGACACAGAGGACGCCGCGCCATCTTCGGCTACACGTAAGAATGACCCTGGGTAAGAGTGACATTTGGTGCGCAACTTTTGGGGGGCCGCGGGGAGGCCAAATCCAGGCGCGCTAACCGCTGCTACCGCTTCGCGTTCGGCCATCTGGGGACCCCAACGGGCCCGCACCAAAGGTCACTCCGGCGAAGGGTCACTCTTACGTTTAATCGAGAGCGGCACTGCGGGCGGGCCCACTGGCCCCGCCCCCCAGACCCCCGACGCCGCGACTTCACCACCACGCCGACCCCATTTGGGGGCGGCCAAAGGGGGCGTCCAAGAGGGGGGGGTGCAAACCATGGCCGGCGGCATGTGCGCGGCCCAGGGGGGGGCCAGGGACGTAAGGAAATAGGAAGAGGCGCCATGAAATCAGGGGAAATATCATGGCCCCCGCCATGATACACCCCCCCTCTTTGCCGCCCCCGACCTACAATGCCCAACAACAAGTGTTGTCCCAAACCAACAGCGGCCGCTGTTGGGCAGGCGGCCTCCTGTCTCAAATGGACACAGGCCGCGGCGGCACGGACAGCAAGTCCTGTTCAAAGTGGACAAGAACCGTTGTTGGGCATCGTGCCCATTTCGTTCGTGCTGATCCACCACGCCGACCCCAGGAGGTCTGGCCAACGGGGCGCCCGGGAGGCCGAAAGTAGAGAGCGGCAATCCCTCCAGCCGCCGTGTGTTTTTGCCTTCGGGCTGTCTCTTGCTCGACAAGAGGACGGAGGGGATTTTCCTTCTTCGGCGCGCACACCCGAAGCGTAAGCTGGGCCTGCACCTGCAGGCAAGCAAGACAGTGCCTCCCCGTCGGAAAGGCTGCAGAACAGGCGCCACGAAGATTGACGGAGGGGTCTGGGGCTCCCCTCCCCTCCCCTCCCGCTCCTCGCTCTGCCCGGGCCTGCTCCTTCTCCTGGAGCTGCCGCTCCCTCTCGCTCGCGGCGGCCTGGGGTGGGGCGGAGGAGACGAGCGACGGGGGCGGGGGTGCCGGGGGAGAGGAGAGGGAGGGCGAGGAGGGGGGGACGAAGACGGCCCAAGAGAGGGCCCGTGACGGCACGGAGACGGCCCAAGAGAGGCTACAAGAGGGTCCTACGAGGTCCCCAGAAGAGCTGCACTGCAAAGGAGCCCAGGACCAGTCCCACGACGGCGTTTTGGGCAGTGCTCGGAGCATCACCGCACAGAGTGCTGCGTTGGCTCTGGGGCGGGAACTGCCGCGGGATTGCGTAGACAACGCCAGCCGGCCCTGTGCCAGAAAGGATGCACCTTGAATCATCGCTGGATGCTACGGTGGGGAACTTTTGCTCAGCGTTCCGCCGCAGCGGCTTCGGCGACACGCTATGCCTGGCGAGCGGATATGAAGGGGCCCTGGGGCACACAAATAACTACACACAAATAAAACAGATTACCCATAGTTTCGCATAGTTTCTGGGTTTTTGTCTTCCCCCCCCCAATCTCCATATTTTCCCATAATCTCTTGGGAATCGACGATTCGTTGTGTCTGTGTGCTTTTTCCCCTCCTGAGGATAGCGCGGCTGGGGACGTTGGAGCCCGAGGACTGGGAAACGGATGGCGTGGCTTATGTTGTTCCCATCCTACTTAAGGACCACAGCCCAGAAATAACTTCGAGCACCCGGAAAAGTGTCGAAGGAGTGTCGAAAGAGTGTCGAAACAGTGTCGGACGAGTGTCTCCCAGGGCCCGATACGTCAAAACTCCCGAGTTTTGGGGTGCGCTCCTCCTCCTCCTCCCTCCTCCCATCTCCCTCCTCCTCCTCCTCCTCCTCCTCCTCCTCCTCCTCCTCCTCCTCCTCATCCTCATCATCATCATCATCATCATCATCATCATCATCATCATCATCATCATCATCATCATCATCATCATCATCCTTCTTTCTGGTGGTCAAGGCTAAAACAGGCTGGAACATCATGAGGCGTGGCGCGCCTCGAGGCGTGGTGGCCGGAGCCGGCGGCGCAGCACGCTATCCTTAACGTCGGGCCTGTCCCCCTACAGGGGGGAGGTCGGACGAAACATTTGAGAAAAAGCACAGAATACCCCAGCATCAGCAGCAAATGCTCAACAAAAACGTCCCCAGACTACATTTTGCGAAGTTTTGAATATTCCCCCTGTAGAGGGGCAGGCCCGACTTGACGCTGTCCCAAAGTTCCCGACCGTATACCTTGAACTCTCGCTGGGTAAGCTTGCTGTTTGCAGCCTGGTGCACGAGCAGAGCTGTTATGTCGCCAGCGTTCGCACTTCCACGAATGGCCATGTCGTCAACGTCCGACATGTCGTCAAATGACGCCCCCTCTGGAAGATTACTCTCGCCAGCGGCTTTGCACTTTCATGCTCGCAGAGGCGTGCAAAAACGACAACCACATAGATAGCACAACATGTGATTCCGTGCAGCGCTACCGAAATGCACCTTTCGGCCCTTGTGAAGAATCACTTCGCGGGCCGACAGTACAACGCATACTCGGCGAATGCGTTTCGAGCTCGCCACAAGGAAAACGCAACATCGAACTGTTGAGACTGCGTGTCTGCCGGAGATTCCAGCTCGCCCGAGCCCCTGAGTGGTTGAAAACACGCTGTGAGCCTCGTGGAGAGGAAGGATACAGCAGATGAGTTGGCAGCGGAGGAAAGACAAGCCCGATGTCTGAGATCACGACGGCCACGGCGAGGCTCAAGCAAGCGGCGAGGCGCCCATGCATGCCCACAGGCCCACCAGGTGATGTTCCAGGGAGCTTTCCCGTGGTTCGCACGAGATGTTCTTGGAGCATTTCTGACAGAGGCCTTCTTGTTGTCGTTTTTTCTTATTCACTGTTTTGCCGATTGGCGCAGGCCCCATTGGAGTTGGGAGCGGAGGAGAGGAAGAAGCTGAGAGGCAACCTGCGGCGGGCAGGAGGCGAGCGAGGAATGGGGCGGGAGGGGGGTCCCTGGCCGGCAGAGCTGGAAGCCCTGGTGGCACTGGAAGCGACATGACTTCCGGCGCCCTCTTGCGAGGAGGAGGAAGGACGTCGAAAGTGAAGGCGAGGGAGGCGGGGCAAGGACGAGGATGATGAGGACGAGGAGGAGGAGGAGGAGGTCGCGGACGAGGATGGCGAGGGCGAGGACGAGGAGGGAGAAGCGAGGACGCAGAAGAGGTGGTGGACGAGGGCGAGGACGCGAAGGACGGGGACGCGGAGGACGGGGAGGACGAGAACGAGGAGGAGGGGGTCGAAGGAGGATGAGGACGAGGACGAGGACGAGGAGGACGAGGACCAGGAGGACGAGGAGGACGAAGAGGAAGAGGAAGAGGACGAGGAGGTAGAGGACGAGGACGAGGAGGAGCAAGAGGACGAGGACGAGAAGGAGGAGGAGGGAGAGGACGAGGAGGACGGGGAGGAGGAGGAGGAGGACAAGGAGGACGAGGACGAGGACAAGGAGGACGAGGAGGAGGGCGAGGACGGCGCAGGTCCAGCCACGCGGCGGCGTGGGCCCGACGGGCCCGACGCTGCGCGCCACGCGGCGAGGCCGCGGGCTCCTTTCCTCTCCCCCTCCTCGGCCCTCCCACTGGACGCGGCGCGCCTCCCCTCCTCCTCCCCCCCCCCCCTCCCCCCCTCCAGTTACACGATGTGAATGCTACTCTCCTCTTTCCCCTGAGTCCGATCTAAGATGGCCGGCAACCCCCCGCGTACTGTCGCTTGCGCACATGATTGCCGGGAACTTGGTGTTCGTTGGTATTTTTGACGATCCGATTCTGTTCGGTCTTCAAAATGTTGCTCCCCCTGCAGCGCTGGCCCCGTTTCTGCGCCTCCGCTCGCTCCGAATCGTACTCCTGCTGCAGCGCTGGCCTCATCTCCGCGCTTCCGCTCGTTCCGAATCATGCTCCCATTGCAGCACTGGCCTCATTTCCAATGCCATGCCATGGCATGCAATGCAATGCTACGGCTGCTCTGGTATGCTCCGCTGTGCGATGTCATGCCTTCAGCTGCAATGCTATGCTACGCATCCGCTGCAGTGCTTGACTACGCAGTGCCACGCCATGCTATTTGCTGATCTTCAACGCCATATTATGCCATGTAATGCTATGCTCTGTTACGACATCCGACTGCGCGACTAGACAGGATAGCTAAGCCATGGTAAGGGAAGGGGGGGAGGGGTAGGTCGTCAGATAAGACGCTTGCGCACCTAGCCCGCCCTCCCCCCCTCCCCCTCTCCTCTCCCCATCCCTTCCTCTCTCCTCTCCCCTCCCCCTCCCTCTCCCCCTCCCTCTCCCCCTCCCCCTCCCCGCCCGCCCTGGGAACACAACTCCACCCATATGGGGCCGGCGGCGCACACCAGGGGGGTTATCCTCCTCCTCCTCTCCTCCTCCTCCTCCTCCTCCTCCTTCTCCTCCTTCTCTTCCTTCTCTCCTCCTCCTCCTCCTCCTCCTCCCTGCTCCTCCTCCTCCTCCTCCTCCTCCTCCTCCTCCTTCTCCTTCTCCTCCTCCTCCTCCTCCCTCCTCCCTCCTCCCTCCTCCTCCTCCTCCTCCTCCTCCTCCTCCTCCCTCCTCCTTCTCCTCATCCTCATCCTCATCCCATCTCATCCTCATCCTCATCCTCATCCTCCCTCCTCCTCCTCCTCCTCCTCCTCCTCCTCCTCCTCCTCCTCCTCCTCCCCCTCCTCCCCCTCCGGGGGATGGGGGCCTTCCTCGAAGGAGGCCGCTTCTCGTAGAAGGCGCCAGCCGCACATCTGCAAGGGACGGCCCGCGCCTCCCTGAGAGACAGGGGCGCTTCTAAGAAGCTTTCCACCCGCTCCACCTGCCCCCCCCCCCTGCGCTGTCTGCCCGCGATCGTCGTCCTCGCGCTGCCCTCCTCGCGGGCGTCCTCGCAGTCGTCCTCGCAGCCGTCGGCGTCGTCCTCGTCCTTGCCCTCGTCCTCGTCATCGTCCTCGTGCTCGTCGTCGTCCTCGTCGTCGTCCTCGTCGTCGTCGTCGTCCACCTCTTCCTCTGCTGAGCAGGGCCCGCCAGCTCGCCCGTCGGGGCCCGCCCGCCGCCCCTGGCGGCACGAGTCTACAGTTGGGGGGCACTGGGCACTGGACGCGGCGCCTGTCCGCCCCGCGGGACGGCCCCGCGTGGGGCGCCAAGCGATGCGGCGCGGCGGCGCCGGCGGGTGCAGGATCACACATGCTGGGAAGCGGGGGAAGCGGACGGGCCGGCCAGCCGAGGCACTCATCCTGTCGTTGCCGCTGGCGCCGCAAGAGCTGCCCATACGCTTGAGAGAACAGAACACAATCTGGGCGGACTTATTGCTAACACTCTCCATGTCGTCGGTCCAACGTTTGTTGGGTCGTTGTGGTAATCTTTGCCGATCGGGGGGGGGCACCTTTCCCTGTCGTGGACCTCGAGGAGGCTTCCAGTGCGATGTCCATGCAAAGAAACCTTCGGAGGTGCTCACTCACGCGGTCCGAACGCCTTCCGAAGGAATCCCACAAGTTCGAGGCCCTGGGGTGCCGACGCCACCAACCCCGCTGACAACCAACTACGCTGTCCGTGTGCAAGGAGGGGCTCAGTGGGCCCCGGAAACGGCAGGGCCGTGTTTCACGGTTTCCGAAAATGTGCCCCTTGAAAATGGAAACGATACAAAAACGGCAGCCAGAACACCCCACCAAGAGGGTCTGGGGCGCCAGCCCAATTCCCCACCCCGTAGAGGGTCCCCAATCCAGACGGGTACAGGCAGGAGGAGGAGGAGGAGGAGGAGGAGGAGGAGGAGGAGCGAAGCGTAGAGGAGGGCGGAGGAGGAGGAGGAGGAGGAGGAGGAGGAGGAGGAGGAGGAGGAGAAGGAGACAGGAGGAGGACGAGGAGGAGGAGGAGGACGAGGAGGAGGAGGGAGTGCACGCTGGGATTGGGACCCCCGGAAAAATAGCAGCCCATCCCCCTCTGCCGCTTGCGAGGCACGGGGTGATGGGCCGCTTCCATCTCGCGCCAGCCTCGGACGGAACGGCGGGGAGGAGGAGGCGGGCAACGACGAGAAGGCGTGAGGCCCGCGGAGGGGCGCCTGCTTCTCGCGGTCCTCCCTCTCGAACTCCCTGAGGGTCCGCTCCATGCGCCGCAAGCAAAAGTCCTGCGGCGGCGCCCCGGGAGCGCGCAGTCCCCCTGACCCGCCCAAATCTCTCTCGGGTGAAGGAGGAGGAGGAGGAAAAGAAGGAGGCGGAGGAGGAGGAGGGGGGAAGAAACGGAAAAGGAGGACGAGGAGGAAGATGAGGAGGAGGAGGAGGAGAAAAGAGTGTGAGGAGCAGAAGGGAAGGAGGGAGGGGAAGGAGGAGGAGGAGGACGAGGAGGACGAGAGGGACGAGAAGAAAGGGGGAGGAGGCGGAGGGAAAACAGGATGGCGAGGAGAAGGGAGGATAATGAGAAGGGAAAGGAGAGGAAGAAGGGTCATACCAGCAGCAACAGCACGTGGGTGTCGGACGGCAGCCTGCTCCACACCATCCCTTGCCGCCGTCGTCGACCTCCTCCTCCTCCCTTTTCCTCTCCATGGTCACCTTCTTCGCTCTTCCTCCTGATCCTATACGGTGATGGCATTGGAGAAGGAAACCTACCTTCGGTAAGGAACCGAGGGTCTGGAAGCCAGTGAAACGCCAATCGTGGATTGGCCATGGATATCACCGCCGCCCTCATCAGATACGGAACCCTCCAGGGTCTGAAGCCTCCTGGGCAAGTTCCTTAACGAACGCCCCCCACCGTACCTCCTGCCCCCTACGTGCCGCCTCCCTGCCCCTCTTCCTGCCCAGACTCATGTTCCTGAGTATGCACGACTCTGCACATATCTTCCTCCTGTTTCGTGTTCATCCCCCCATTGTTTCGCCCCCTTCCCTCCATCCACCTTCCCTTTGAAATAACACAGAGGATAAGGGCATACACATAAACTCTTGGCGCTCCGCACGGATTTCTTGGGTCTGCGCTGGACCCCCATCCCTGGCGCGCGGAGCGCGCCAGGGGCAGCGCCAAAAGCGCCGCCACGGGGGCCCAGCGCAGATCCAAGAAATCCGCGCGGAGCGCCAACACTTCTTCGATGAAGCAATGTTTATGCGATTTCTCCTTCTTCGATGAAAGCAATTATCCCCCTGCCGAAACGTGTCTGCAGGCTTGGCCGGGCGTTTAGCTGCAAACTCCGCCACACTGGCAACCCAGAAGCTGGCAAAACGTTACCAGCTACCAGGATGAAGGGCAAATGGTTTCCAAGAGGTGACCATCGACTTCGTACCGCACGCAAGCGTTTTTTTTAATGGCCCAAACTTTACGAGGAGGGAGAGCCGATGCTTTTCAAAAATTCGGCTCTCGCTGAAGCACTGCGGACATTCGCCTTGGACGCTTCATCAGAACAGAATGGACGGCATGTGGTTGCCAACATGCGGCGGTCGCTTCAACGCGGAACAATTCGGTTTTAAACTTTCTAGCAGCTGTACGGATGGAGGCCAGTTCGTATTCAAAATGCGGCTCTCGCTTGGGGGCTCCTCCACTATAAAGCCTGAACTTCCCGACTATTTGCAGTGGCTGCACGGATGAAAGGCGATTGCTCTTCAGAAATGGGTTCGGCAAGAACGGAGGTCTCCCTTGAGGCAACTGATGTTGAAGTTCTGCTACGGGTACACGACCGCCGTTGTACTTCTGCCGCCTTTCGCGGGCCTTTCGCCAAGAAAATCTACCGAATTGGCTCGATCCATCGATCGTCCTCGTTCGATTGTCCTCCTCGATCCTCCTCGATCGAACGACCGGCTGCGCCCACCCCCCAGAGATCTCAACCCCCTCCCTGGAACCAGCTTTTCATCCTGCGCAGCTCTGTGACCGTCCTGGGAGCCCTGGGGCTGGCGAGGCTCCCCAGGAAGCCGAACACTGCCAGAGGCCTTCCGTCCACCCAGCCGGACTTGATTGGACAGGACACCCGAGAGGAAACAAGACTCTTCCGACGGCAACGTGGCCCCAGAACACCACAGGATATGCAGGTTGCACAGGTCGGGATACACAGGACACCTGGGCACCCTCGATTTGGAATGATCGACCTACTCATCGGGGCCCGACTGTGTGGTTTCTGTCCCTGTCAGGCGAGGCCCTCTCCATAGCGCCACGATGTGTGTGCAGTGCTCCTGGCAGCTCAGCATGGGGGAAGCGGGTCCTGCAGACAGCGGGTCCTGGACCCGGGGGCCCTCCCCCAGGACGAGATGTCTTCCTCCTCCGCGTGCTTCCTGACAGCCCCAGGGCCCGTGGAAGCCCCGATCGGATCGGATCGGATCGCCTGTGCGGGCATGCGCCCGGGCCCCTTCAGGGCGAGGCGGGTGAGGCCATGGCCTCGCATGAGAGGCAGCGCGCGTCGGAGGCTTGCTCAGGATGTCGCGCACCTCACGTGTTGATGCTCCAACTGTTCCCCCTCCTCTGTTGTAGTGCGACGCAGCGCCGTGGAAGCCCCGAGCGCCGCCCGAAGACGAAACGCCTCGGGGGCCGTTTCCCCCCCCGCGGCGGGCAGCGCCTTTCGGGGGACGGCCCGCCCCGCGGGGCCCCGAGGCCTCGGCCTCGGGGTGGAGGGCCGGGCGCGGCCTCGGCGGGGAGCGGCCGCCCGCCCCCCCCCCCCAGCGCCACTGCGGGTGCCGCATGCCCGGGCGGGGAAGCGCCTGGGGCGCTGCTCCCTCGGGTGGGGGGGGGGCTTGCTTGGACTCGGGAGCATCGTACGCCAAGTCAGCAGGCCTCGCTCCGAGCGCCTTCCTGTCCCGCAGCCTCGGCCCGACGGCACGAAGGCCCTGCGGCGAAGGGAGGAGCTGCCAGAGAACTCCCAGGGTCCAGTCCAGATGCTTGCTTCCCTCCAGCGACATCTGGGCACCATGAGGCTGAATGTTTTTTCTCAAGATTTCTGATGGTGCATGGGGGGGAGGGGAAACGTGCACCTTTCACACCCCGATTGTACCCAAAAATGGCCCCTGTCCCCCCAAACACGTATGTAGAAGAAGAAAAAGGCATACACATAAACTTCCGGAGGACCGCGCGCATTTCTAGGATCTGCGCAGGACCCCCCTCCCTGACGCGCGGAGCGCGCCAGGGGCGGCGCCGGAGGCGCCGCCGGGGGGGCCTAACGCGGATCCAAGAAATCCGCGCGGAGCGCCAAAGTTTAACCGACTACCCCCGATAATCATCACTAAGGGATAATAAAGTTCGGGGGCCTGGCGGGGATAATCGACGATTTTCCTGGGGAAGGTGATGTTAGTTATAAGGTATGATGATGATGACGATGATGATGATGCTGATGATGACGATGATGATGATGATGGTGATCCTGGGCGCTCGTGTAGACTGCCCTTGTAGATCTTGGCAAAGCCCTGCCACACGCTCGTGATTGCGGAAGCTGATATGGTGAGACCACCATGTCCATGCTCAGCGTTTTTGATGCTGTTGCTAGTCAACATAAGATGATAGCAACTTCGATTCGCAACTTCCCCCGTGGATGATCAAATTCGGCCTCCGCGCCCCTCTCCACACTTAAATCCTATTGAACCGGGGTAACAAAATAGAGGGGGCTAAGGGGGGGGTACATTTCTATCCGGGGCACTCGGTTCTGTTTATGGCGTTTTTTCTTCTTCGATTACCGCCCCCTCCCATTACGCAGCGCCCGAAAGTCCGCTCACATGGCAGTCTCTGGAAATCCTGAACCCAGAGATGTTGCGCCACCGCTTGCGGGCGCATCCTTCTACTCCTGCCAGCCATCCGCCGGCGGGGGCAGCCTCGCTTCACTGCCGCCGCCGCCGCCGCCTTCTGCCGAGGAAGGGATGCGACTTCATTCGATCATGCAGGGCGACGCGCGCCAGAGGCCACGTGGAGCAGTCGGCCCAGAGGAGTCGGCGGGAGCAGGGTGGCCCGGGCGGCTCCCCGCCCGATCGTCGAGCTCGTCGGCGCCGCGGTGTGCGGGCGGCGGCGACAGCGGGGAGGGGAGGCCGCCAACAACAGCGCCCCCGCGGCGGACCTGCCGCACGCCAGGTTCGAGGGGGCCCAGTGCTGGTGTCGGCACGTGGGAGCGGCTCTGGGCGCTCTCGTCCTTGCACCCGCTGGGGCGCAAGCCTTGGGAGGCCGAGGCCTGCCCGTGGAAGACTCAACTGCGACGGCAACGGCTCCCGCTCCAAGACCACCTGCGTCCACAACCGCTTCATCACAGCTTGCTCGGGGGCGCCCTGGCCAGAGCCGTCCTCGCACCCCGGCGAGGCGCTCCCGTCCGAAACCTCCCCGCGGTTCACTCAGGCCGGCGAGGCCCGGCTCCGCAGACCACGATGTCTCGCCACAGCTGCCTCGGAGGCGCCCCTGCCGGAGGCGTCCTCGGACTCGGGAGCGGCGGTCTCGCCCGAGACTCCCTCGCAACCCGTCCGCCAACAGCGGCTTCCGCTCTCGATAGCTCCGCATCGTTTTAACTCCGAGACGCCCTGGCCAGAGATGCCCTCACGAAGAGGAACGGCGCTTTCGCCCGAGACCCTCCTCGCGTGTTGCTCGGCCTGGTGAGTGCCCAACTGGCTCGCCGTCTGCAACTTACTCGACGGCTCCCTTCCTGCAACTTCCTCACGGCCCCAGGGACGCCCTGGCCAGACACGTACTCACACTCAGGAGCGGCGCCCTCGCCCGAGACTCTGGTGGTTACCGCAGGCTGGTGAACCCATCAGACACGCCCTCGCAACTTACTCAGGCTCCACGCTCTCGCCTGAGGCTTCATCGCAACTTACTCCAGGAGCGCACTCTCTCGGCCCAGGCGCGGGCAGACTGGGCGCTCGCACCCCCGAAACTGCAGCTTCAAGCCTCGGAATTCAGCTACTGCGGCAGAGCGCCTCCCTCCTCCCTCCTTCCGTCCCTCCTGCCTCCCTCACTGAGTCCGCCTCAACCTTCCAAGTTTGGAGTCGGAGTTCTGCACTGTGGCGCCTTATATGGCATCATTATCTTCCCTGTTCGGGGTTTACCCCGAATCTGGTATGAAGTATGACAAGCGGGCGGGTTAAAACGAAACAAACAAATCATGCATGAGCAAGTAAGAGGGCCTGCATAGTATCGTCGCCGTCGTCGTCGCCCTCCTCCTTTTCCTCCGTCGCGTCTTCCTCGTCCTCGTCCTGCTCTCTCCCCACCTCCTCATCCTCAACTCTGCTCAACCTATTCGCCTTCCCCCTCTCAGTCCCCCTTCGAACACTTCCTTGCTGCCCTCAGGCACTTGGGTCTTTCCTTACTGCTCAGAGCACTCCACAGCTCCATTTCCGCACCGCTCCCCAGTCCCCCCACATCCTCGAACTGCAAGACGCCCTGGTTAGTGTCGTCGTGCGCAGAGATGAGGCGCTTCACGGTGCTCTCCTGGGCACCGCTACTCCCATTCGCCACGGTGTGCTTTCCGCAAGATCACTGCAAGCCAGCTGCCGAATGGCGAACAAGTCGATATGAGAAAAGGGCACCAACCACCAGCCGAGCGAGCAAGGGTTTGAGCGAGCGAAGACAACAAATCTGAAGCGAGCCGCGACGCCGCAACGCACTGTGCGTGCAACAGAAGGAGAAGGCCAGTTGCCAGCACGGTGGACGTGTGCCAACTGGTGAGCAAGACGAAATTCGTACCAATTGCAGGCGTAATGGACGTGTTGTTCCACTCGGGGCGCAGCAGGAAGAGAACATTTTTGCACGTGGAAGGCGGTCGGGCTCCTGATGAAACACATCCTGAACCGATCGCCTCGTTCCAACAACTCCACGGATCTTATATGCCCCGTGTCTTGACTACCGATTGCTACTGTCATGCTGGCGGCAAACTTGCGCAATGCCAAAAAACAACTAGAACGTGCACGAGCAAACGCACTTTATGGCAAGAACCGTGCACCGGGAAACGCCACATCTTTGACATCCGCCTCGAACGATCCTCTGCCAGGAGCGCAGGCTCGCCTCCTGCGGAAACTCGACCCCGCTCGAACGACCGGCGAGGGCTGCCCTGGGCGGATCGAAGGACGATCCCGTGGTGAACGCGATCCGATGCGGCTCTGGCCTGCTTCGGGTCTGGCCCGTCTCGGCATCGGGTCCATGCTTCGGCTCCGCCGTGCTCCGGCTCCGCCCGCTCCGCCCCCGACGGCTGCCCATGCTCTGCTCGATTCCCGAGGGGGGGCCCGCGGGCCCGAGCCCACGTCGGGCAGACGGCTCCCGGGAGGACAAGCACGGGGGGGGCGGGGGAGTCCACGCCCCCTCAGAGGAGGGAGCGTCCCCAGAGAAGGAGGGGGAGGCAGGCGGAGGAGGCGGCGACGAATGAGGACGATCGCCGTCGATCCACGTTAATACAGCGTCGAGAAAACGGATGGCGAGGGAGATCGTGGCAGCGGGGGGGATCGAGGATTAAACGGAGAAGCAATAGGCAGTGGCGCCTACGAATACGGGCAGAAGGACAACAATGAGGAGGATGAGGAGGGCGCGCCCATGTCAGCATCTATCGCCTTGACATGGTCGGGCGCCTATTGTTGCACCACCCGTTTCGACCTCATGCGCGGGTGGCGACCCTTCCCAATGGCACCGCGCAAGACTTCATGCCCAGGGACCCTCCATGGCGAGAAGTGCGAGCGCACCAACAGTAGCCTCGCGAACCGCGGCGGGGGGGTCACTACGGACGAGTGATCATCACTGCGGACAAGCGCTTGATCCATATCCGCTGCGTCTTGGGCATTCGGCCTTCCTCCATCAAAGAACACAAGGCGCAGTGAATACGTATAAAAACCTGCCCCCCCAAGGGCCAGATGATTATCCATATCTATTGCGCCTCGGCCTTGCTGGCGACCAATCCCTGAAATTCCATGACGCAGTGGATAGAATCCTTGTCCACACCAACATTCGCGTGAAACCTGGGGAAGGGAGTTGTCGCGTCTTCCACGCGATGACACGCGCAACGACCCCACGCGGCGGATTACGCGGGCCGCCAGCACGGCACGCTACGTTGGAAACGAGAGTTCACCCGCGACCTCACGCGGGCAGCTGACGCGCGAATGTCCGCGTAATCGATATGCTGTGCTGCGTCGCGGATACGTCGCGGCCTTCTGGAAGATCGGGCACATCATCGACGCATGCCACGGCCATCTCCGAACGGATGGCGCTAGCGAGCCAATCGTTCCTGCCCACTGGGGACAGACAGGGAGCGATGCTAACCGTTGCGGTCCTGAGGGTTTCGATCACGTCGTTCTGCCATCGTTCCACCTTATTCCCCTGGGGATGGAATCGGCCCCTGGACGCCGAAATTGAGAAAAGCAAGAATGCCTGGGATGTGCAAGAAGGTGGCGTGCCCCGACTGCCCTAGGCCGGATGAAGCCTGCACATCAGCCAGTGCCTCACCGCGGGTTCCGGGAACATGCGCTGGCCATTCTACAGGCAGGTCTGGCACCTCCCTTCACCACCGCTGTCATTGAAGAGAAACGTTATCCAGCGTAGACCCCCAACAGCGATGCATTGCAATCTATGCGGCCGATTTGTTTCACTCAAGGGCAAACGGCACGCCGAGATGGTCGACGGGCCCGATGGCCCCTGGCCACTGTAGCCAGGGGCCGAACAAAAAGCCGCTTTGGTTTTGGTGAGCTCTGAGGGCCTTTAAACAAGAGACGCCTTCGAAGTCGACGTCGCACAATGAATCTCTTGTCGCTCTTTGGCGGTCCTGGGCATGCACTGCACGGGCCTTTGAACACAAGTGTCGTGTGGAAGCCGGAACTGGCACTGAACGCCAGAAGACCATGGCTTCACACGCCAGACTGCAGCTTTTGCGACGGGCGGATTACCCCGACGCCTGCTCTGAAACTCGCGCCCATGGGGCGGCATGGCTCGTTGCGGCGTAAAGCCACCGCAGCACGTGAGCGCTAGACGCAAAACCACGCGGCACACCTGCATGGCACATGCTCCGCACGTTGCTATAGGTGGACAACAAAGGGCACGCCGAGCTCCAGCCCCAACATCCTTAGGAAGCGTGCCTTCCCAGCTGCGCCTCGGGCAGAGGGCAGGCATCCTGGGAATAAACTGAAGCACGGCAACGGGCCTCTTCTCCTGACGCTTCAGACACTCGAGCGCCACCGGGTCAACAGACGGGTGCATCGACGGGGCCGCTTTCGCTGAAAGGCCGCACTGGTGGATGAAGAACGGACAACGGGCGGCCTCGCCGATCTTGCCCTCGTCTTGGTGGTCCTAGACCTTGGCTGTTGCCATCAAAAGCTTGCCGCTGTCACTGCCTAGCGCTGTTGTGAAAGTGTCAAAGTACAGATGCTTGTAGGAGAGCCTATTAGACAATGGCTTGTGGTAGCCAGCAGTGACACTTTTGCAATCCACATCGGCTCGACACTCTACTGGCAATATCTGCTGTATCACAAAGGATCCAATATGCTCCCCCGCTCGTGGTCTGGCGGAGCGGGAAAGCCACTGGGGTTATGATGTCCAGTTGGAGCTGTCCTGATGCCGAGAACCCACGCGCCGCCAACGCAACTACTTAGAGGCTCCTGAACCCCGCCCCACAACAGATCCGACCTGGTTCCGCGAGGGGGCCTTGTCTCCATAGCATGACACCCCCGCAGCAAACTCCGAAGCTGCTTGGGCAATTTGCCTGCGAATTTGGATCGGCCTCTGAATTCTGGAGGGAGTCTCTAAGAGGGAACCTGGAATCTGAGTCGGCCTCTGAATTCGCAAGGGGGCCGGAAAAATGCTGCTCGCATGCCTCTATAAGTTCTTCGAGGATCTATATACGTGTATATATATGTGTATATATACATGTAGATACATATGTACATATAATAATAATAATAATAATAATAAAAATAATAATAATAATAATAGTAGTAATAATAATAACAATAATAATAATACTAATAATAAGAATAATTATAATAATAATATGTCTGCGGAACGAGTTCGCGTCTCGGTCCCACAGCTCCTCTGGCCTTGCAGCCGCAGGGCCCGCAGAACAACGTGTCAACCGACGGCTCCGCACGGAGCGCAGCCGTCCCCAATGAGATCATCTGCTTGGGCCGCCCAACCGGCGATCCAACGACGTTGACGAGCCGCGGCCAACAGGCTGGCCTTCTCCTTGGGGGGGCGACTGTGTCTAGGAAGCTGGGCGAGGGCTGCTAAAACCGTGGCTGCTAAAACGGCCCTCCCGGAAGGAAAAAACAACTTCCCAGAGTGAGGCGCGGCAGCTGCGGGGCCCACAGACAACGCAAGCACCCCAACGACGCTTCCCGCCTCTCGGCATGGCACCCGGAGGCCTGCAAGGGGAAAGCTGGATCGAGCGGCCGCGGAGAGGCTCACTTGAAGGGGCCCTGGGACACACAAAAATAAATACACACAAATAACAGGACTCCTCATATTTCCCATATTTTCAAAGTTTCTGTCTTCCCCCCACTTCCCATATTTTCACATCTTTTCTGGGGAATCGACGATCAATTGTGTCTGTGTGTTCTTCCCCTCTGATCACTCACCATGAATGCAAGTGCCCAGCTGCCGCTGTGAAGGCGCTGGGAAGACGCCAGGCTGAACAGCCGTGCCTGCCGCGGCTCCAGAGTTTCCACATCCCTTCCACGGGAAAGGAGCATCATGAACCAAAACGGCGACCGATGTGGCCCAGTCTAGGTGGTGCATATGGGGGTGGTACAGTCTGCGTGGTGCAATCCGTGTGGTGCAGCCTATGCCGTGCAAAGCGATGCAAGGCGACAGGCTATTCAGATCAATGGAAAATAACGCAACGCACTGCAAATCATCGCGCAGCAACGCAATGCGGTCCAAAGCAACGCAAAGCAATAGGACTCAATGCAACGCAATGCGAAACGACACAATCCAATGCAGAGCAACGCATACCTATGCAACGCAAGGCAAAGCAATGTCAATCCTTGTGAAGAATGATGCCTCGCAGTGCAAAACCATGCGATTGCAATGCAATGCGATGCGATGGCAATGCCACGCAACTGGGCCAAGCCGTGGAATGCGATGCCACGCAATGCGATATTGCAATGCCCATGCGATGGCAATGCGCTTGCAATGCGAAGAGCGATTGAAGCGCCATGCGATGGCAACCCACGGAGGGGGGGGGGGGGCAGTGGGGTGGCGGCGACGGGCGGGAACGGGGGGCCGTCCCGGGCCGCGACCAGGGCCCCCGTTCCAAAGAAGAGAGAGGAGCAAGGAGACCACCTCAAGAGCGAAAGCACGGCTCGGGGAACGAGCAGCGCTGGATGTCTAGTGCTCACCTCTCTGTCCTCCTGGCTCCTGGACGCCGCACGCGTCGCACACCTCTCTGCGCCGCGGCGGCGGGCACCCCGTGGTGCGAGCGCGGCCGAGCCCATGTCTGGGACCTGCTGCCGGAGAGGGTTTTCCCGGGCCGAGCAGGGGCTTCGGTCCTCCAGGTCCACGCCCCAGTACTCCTTGAGCCCCAGCTGCAGCTCCTGCCAGTCCACCGCTCCTGGGCCGTCGCTGCGGCCCTCCCGCCCCCTTGCGTTCCTCGTCCTCCCCCCTCCCTCGCCCTCTCCTCCGTCTCTCTCTCTCTCTCTCTCTCTTTCTGCCTCTTCTTCTGCTTCGCCTCCTCCTGCTCTTCCTGCTCACGTGCAAGGGCCCTGGGCACCGCCAGGAGCGCGTGGCAGGCAGGAGGGGCACGGGGGTTCAGAACTGACAGCGGGCATGCAATACCTCGGGGGGGGGTCCTCCTCCTCCCCATCCTCCTCGTGAGCCTCCTCATTACTCCTCCTCTTCCTCATCCCACTCCTCCTCCTGCTCCTCCTCCTCAAAGTGGATTCGTATATGTTGGCCAGCGCGGGCCACAAACGGCGTGCTTCTAGACATCGATGTGGTGCTACCTATGTGAAGCAATCTTAGTGGTGTAATACGAGTGGAGCAACCTACGCGGAGCAACCTATGTGTGTGCTGCGAGCGCGGTGTAGCGAGGTGCTTCACCAGGAGCTCACGCGGCATGCAATGTCACTCCAGCAGGAGCGCGCGAGATATGGAATGATTCCCTGACCCAGGTGTCAACAGCTGTGATCGGGCCGCGGACCAGCGGCATCCCCCTTTGTCCTCAGGGGAACTGAGCATCGGACGAGACAGAGGAGACCAACATGTGGGATGAGCCGCCCTTGTCTATAGACACCGCCAAACGGTTGCACAAGACAACGATGGGGAAAGGGTGGGGCACTGAGAGGAGTGGAGGAGGAGGCGGATGGCTCCGAAACTCTTGGCTAGCTAAGCGCCTGCGCGAAGCCGCACCGCCAGTGGGCTGACGCCCCGGCCGGCAACCGCGCGCCACCCCTTGGGCCGCGCACCGCCGACGGCGCTGCTGCATCCCCCGCACGCCGCCGGGGGCCCGCCGGGCCGCTGCCGGCGCCTCGCTCGGCGCCCGCTCTCGCGGGGATCGGGCGGGCGCGCGCGCGCGCCCGCGCGCGAGGCCTCGCGGGCCCCCTGCGGCGAGAGCCCGCCGATCGCCCCCTGCGGGCTCTCGCGCGTGGCTCGCGGGACGCCGCGCCTCTCTGGCCGACGCGCCCCTCGCCGCCGCGCGGCGGCGCCGCCCTCGCGCGCCGGGCGCCCCCGCCGCGGCGGGGCCCGCGGGCGCCGCATAAGCTGCCGCCGCCGGGGCTGCCGCGCCGCCAGCGCCCTGGCCGAGCCCGGCATCCTCCGGCGGAGCGGCGGCAGGCTGCTGGGGCTGGCGGCGGTGGTCGACGTCGCGGCCTCGGCGCCGGAGCCGCTCGGGTCCCCCACCAGTTTCGCGCTGCGGCTCCCGCTCGCCGCGGCGCGGCAGCTGCGGGCCGCCCGCGAGGGGCGGGCCGCCGGCGCGGCGAGCTCCATTCGGAGGCGAGGGCGCTCACGCGCGACCGTAGACGCGGGCAACTTGCGGGCAGATTCCGGCGCAGACGAGCCCGTTTTGTGGAGTCGCTGCATCGGGTCGGTTCCTCATACGCCCCCGATCGGGCAACGGGAACGTGGTGCTACTCCCAGATCCATGGCACGCAATCGTGTTGGAGGTGGTGACTTTGATGCGATGTATGACGGCGTGTGGGTGCTTACAATGACCACGACTACGGATGCTGTGGATATGGGTTGTGACCTTCCGACGATCTCAGGGGCGTGCGGCTCTGCGGTTTTGATCCTCGAGACCCGCCCGTTTGCCTCCGCCCAGGCCGAACCAGACAAAACTCCATTCCCTGTTCATCGGAAATATGGGTTTTGGCGAGAGCCTGTCTGGGTCCGCGGCGCGTCTCCTTGCGCTTACAGGCTCTGGTCTTCGGTTTGAAACTTGGGGCTTTGAGTCTAGGCGGGCGGGAGGCCCGCAATTCGCGGCATTTGTGTCGGTCCTGGGGATATCTGTCACTGGCGAAGTGACCATATGCCCCCCCAGAGGTGTCTGTCTGTTCTCCTCCTCCTCCTCCTCCTCCTCCTCTTCCTCCTCCTCCTCCTCCTCCTCCTCCTCCTCCTCCTCCTCCTCCTCCTCCTCCTCCTCCTCCCCTACCCCCCCCTCTCCCTGCTCCCTCGCCACGGCCGCCCGCTACTCTTGCTCGTCCATCCTCCGCACCTTCCTTCTCGTTCTCCCACTCGTCCCTCTCGCCATCCCCGACGTAGTGCCCTTCCTCCTCATCCTCATCTTCCTCCTCCTTCGCCGCATGTTCACCACCATCTCTCCCTCTTTCTTCACCTTATCCTCCTCGTCCTCCTCCTCCTCGTCCTCCTCCTCCTACTTCTCATCGGCTTCATCTTCCTCCTCCTCCTCCACCTCCTCCTCCTCCTCCTCCTCCAACTCCTCCTCCACCACCTCCTCCTTCACCTCCTCCTCCTCCACCACCACCTCTTCCTCATCCTCTTCCTGCTCCTTCCCTCCCCTCCTCCCTCATCTGCCTGATCCCCCGTTTTCCTCTGGCGAGGAAGAGGAGATGGGGGCTGAAGGGGGAGGCCAGGCTAACCTTTTGCCGCGGGCCTCGCTCAGGAGGGCGGCTGGTTTGTGATGAGAGCAAACCCCTCATAATGCGGCCAACGCTGAGGCCACAGCACCAAGCCAGAGATACGGCTGCCGCTAAGGCAAGCGGCTAGCGCAACGGCGAGAGCACCGTCCTCGCTCACGAGAGCGCTGCGAGAGCGCCTTTCTCACTCAATCATGTGGCGGGCGGAACGGCGAAAACACCATCCTCACTAAAGGATGAGGCCGGCACTTCAGGGAGAGCACCGAACTCACTCGGAGATGCGGCTGGCGCTCAAGCCACACTCACTGCGAAATGAATGATGCTAATGTGGCAGGCGCTCAAACAGGGGCATCATGTTGAGAGCCGGAACGAAACGAACACTCGCCAGAGCTGCACGTCACCACTGTTCCTACGGCAGGGGTGCGACTGGTGCCCACTGGCAGCGGGGCCAGCAAGAGGTTCCCCCCGCGGCAAAAGGTTAACGGGGGGGGTGTAGGAAGAGAGGGGAGAAGGAGGAGGATGAGGATGAGGAGGTAGGGGGGAGGAGTGGAGGATGAGATCGAGGATGAGGAGGAGGAGGACCCCCGGTGAGGGCTCCCGAGCCGTCGTAATCGAAGGCCTTGAACTGCATTCGCCGCTGGTGCTCACGCTCTTTCTGCGGGATCCGGCCGCTTGCGCGCCGCCGCAGCCGCCTCGTCCCGTCATCCTCGTCGTCCTCGGCGTCGCCTGGCCACGCTCGTCCTCCTCCTCCTCCTCCTCCTCCTCCTCCTCCTCCTCCTCCTCCTCCTACTCCTACTCCTGCTCCTCCTCGGCATCCCTCTTACCTCCGATCTTCCTTTCATTATTGTACTCTTCCCTCTTCTCCTCCTCCTCCTCCTCCTCCTCCTCCTCCTCCTCCTCCTCTTATGGTCCTCCTCCTCCTCCTTCTCTCCTTCTCCACATCCCACCTCCTCATCGTCTTGCTAATCCTTCCCCCTCCTCCTGCTCCTCCTCCTCGTCCTCCTCCGCATTCTCCTCCTCGTCCGCACCCTCACCCTCCTTAACATCCCAAACTTCCCCTGGCTCCATCTCGTCCTCCTCGTTCTCTCTCCTCCTCATCATTGTGATCGTCATCGCCACTATCATCTCCTCAAAATCAACAACGTAAGTGCCATCATGATCCATCTTCTCGTCCCTTGTCGTCATCGTCATAATCCTGCTCGACTTCCCTCTCGTCCTCCTGCCCTTCCTCGTCCGATGCGACGCCAACGCCAACGACCCGAAACCAAGAGAGCCGCATAACGTGCCGCTCCGAATGTAGGACTATGATGTTCTAGAAGCATGGAGACAGGTGAGGGAGGTGAGGAGAATACAAGGCACAAGTCGGCAGTAGCAGCTAGACGAGGCTGCGGAGGAGGCGGACCACCCGAACGGTGGTGACGAAGAGCAACGGCATGATGCGACTGCGGATGAGGAGCACGGCGAATAGCAGGACGGTGAGTCGGAGAAGTACGATGAGGAGGACGCAGAGGGGATACTGAGCTGTGTGGGATGGGGAGGGCGAAGAAAGGTCAGATGAATGAGGAAGGGAAGGGAAGAAAACTGTTGTTTTCCATTCGCGCACCTGCGAAGCGTTACCATATGGAGGACGGCGCCTTCTCCCTGAGGTCTGTGGCTGCTCACTGGGGCAGCGCCCGAAGTCTTTGTTGCACCCTCTGCAACTTCCGCCACCCAGGAGCCTCAAACCACAAACGTGAGAAGTACGGGGGGGGCGTGTCAGGTCTGTTTCGCCCTGTTCTCGCCAGCCAGTGCTCCGACCGCTGCGAAGCGAGCCGAGATTGCTGTCCATGACGCGGACAACACATGAGTCTGACCCAGACTCCACGCCGCCACATCTCCTAGAGAGGCAGGAGGCATGCTCGACGCCGCCGCTCCCAGCCGCAACGCCGTAGACACACTGCGCAGGGTGGTGGCAGGGTCTGGGGCGGGCACCAGGATCGAGGCTAGGAGCGAAAGACGGCACCACAAGAGAATCAACGATCTTCAAAACCTTGTCCCTGGGGTGCGGACTAGCCGTGCCCTCAGTAATGTTGGTCCAGATCTGTCGACTCAGCCCTTGGCACTGCTGAGCAAAGTTGCTTTTCACCAGCACGTCCTGGTGCAGAAAAGACCCGCCAAGCAAACACAACAAACCAATAGGACCCGTCAAACACGTGAGAGAGGTCAGGCTTCTGCCCCTCACTTCCCGCCGGATCCACGTCGATCTGGCACGGCCCCAAACATCTCCCAGGACCAGGTTCCACGGCGGACCTGGACCCTAGGCGTCAAGCAGTGCATCGCCACACACTGCCGAAGCGTTGCCTTCGTGCCGTGCAGCCGAGGGGATATAACCCTCGGGGCAGGCGGCGGAAGCAATACGTCGACACTACACAAGCCGAGACACGGCCACTCCGGCAACAACTGGGCCGCAAGTCTGCACACCGCCATGGGGATCTGCACCAGCCTATCCACAACGTCGCGTTCTTCCTTCGGGGCGCGCGGGTGTAGCAAAGCAGCCGCTCCGGCGGCACTGTCGGCATGGTTGTTCCCTTTACGTCTGAGCACGGAAAGGCCTGGACTGCGGTGGTGACATTGACAAGGACACCTTCGATGAGGAATCCAGGGTCTGGAAGCCTGTGGGATGCCAATCGTGGATTGGCCATGGATATCACCGCCGCCTTCATCAGATAAGGACTCCCCCAAGGTCTGAAGCCTCCCTGGCCCATTCCTTAATGAACGCCCCCACCGTATCGGCTGAAAGGTCCGCACGCACCTTGTCACATACAACACATTCCTGCGCTTACGCCTGTAGGTACCACGCGGCGACAGAGGCAGGCTGTGGTGGCTCACCACAGCCGAACAATCAGAGCACGCGTGACTGGACCCTAGACTCTAGGGCTATAGGGCCTGGAGCCTGCAACGAACACATCCTGATAGCAGAAGACTCGGCCGCAGGGGCCGATGAAGGCAGCGGGTGGCGCACGTGGCTGAGGACAGCGCTCAAAAGCTCGCCGTCCTCGGCAGCCTGGCATGCACTCCAGCCAAGCCTCCCGAGGTCTGCAATCGGATGCTTGAAGGATGACACATTCAAAAAATAAGCCCCCTTGCACGTGCCCAGACTCCCCTCCTGGATGCCCATCAGATCGAATCTCCGGATGACCACTCGAGCACTGCGGGAGCCAGAACGATTCAGGGTGATCGAAAATACCCCGCGTCAAGAGGACGAGGTCGGAGGGGGAAAGGTCGCCATCCGATTCGGCCAACACTGAGGCAGCGGCTCAAGCCTCGCAACGCCCAAGGCGATGCAACGACATGTCCTTCTGCTTGCCGCCCGGTGGGCATAGAAGAAGCTGCTGCTTGGACAAATGGTAACCTAGTCCTGCTGCTCTGCCGGCGGTCCAGCAGACGTTTCACGCCACGCTGCGAATGGAGCCATGCTTCAACGGCGTGAGATTGCTGGACTTCGCCTGCGCCTTGATAAAATCGAAGCACGTTCATCGCCATCATTCCCCAATGTTTGCTGCCACCGAGACCTCAAGGAGCCAAATTGAAGCCTCACAGACATACTTTTGAGGAGCTGGGGGCTGATGAGCGTGAGCAACATGTCGATCCCATCGTGATCGTTAGGAACCAGAAAAATTCGGCATGGTCCACAAAAATGCAACGCACTGAAAGCCACAAGACCCCCACAGGGGCCACACACATCACTTCACTTAGTTGGCTGCCGTTGGGGTGCTTGAAGATGTTGGACTAAGCTCGTCGTGAAGCTGGCAAGGCCAGCGAATACAGGAAAGACTGGCACTGCCCTATCCATACTTCCTTGCTCCAGCGCGCAGCAGGAGCAACAGCGGCGTACCAGCACGGGTCGTCGCCACAAACCGAGGTAGCCGTTAAAGAACGCCCTCCAGCAGGGGGGCCGCCTGCACTTACCAGCCTGAGCTCTGAGAGTCACCAAGTCCGCGTCACTGATCCCATACACCTCCGCTCCATGTGTGATCCATGGCAACGGGCCGCTGGCAAAAGGACGACGCTGTCGAACAATGCGCCGCACACGAACCCGAAAATGCTGCATCCTCAACTTCCTTTTGACAGCTCCACCTTGGACACGAAGAGGCCGCCCGGAGGCATCGTCAATGCATGTGATGATCGCCGAGCCCGTAAAGCCGTTCCCCGCCAGCTCGCCGAGCCAGCGCTCCAGTGAACGCCAAGACGAGGGCAACTGGCAGTGTGGCCAGCCTTGCCGGGGGAAAACTTGGGCCCCGCGTCCTCCGTGACGGCCCCGATGGCTGCACCAGCCCCCGTCTTCAAGCCCTCCCGGACCCGAGGATCGGGGATCTTCTGACCCAGGTCAATCCAGACAAGGGTCCATCAGGACTTGCAGGATCCTGCAAGATCCTGCATCCAAGCCCGGGTCAATGCGAGGGGTCCTGCAAGATCCTGCAGGATCCTTGAAGCCGACGTCAGACCGACGGCGCCAACTGACGCGCCAACCGACGTCAGACGCACGCTTGAAGCCGTAACCCGCGAAGAGAGATTGGAGATGAGCCTCCTCCCTTTCAAACGCCACCGACCTCCGTATGTACCCCCAGATGCGGTAGGGGGAGGAGGAGGAGGAGGAGGAGGAGGAGGAGGAGGAGGAGGAAGAGGAGGAGGAGGAGGAGGGAAAAGAGAAGGAGGAGGAGGAGGAGGAGGAGGAGGAAGAGGAGGAGGAGGAGGAGGAGGAGGAGGAGGAGAGCCTCGTGGCGCCGCTTGCCGTCCGTGCGCCGCGGCGCCGCGGGAGAGTCGTCGCGTTTCCTGCTGCCCCACCCCGAAAACACATCCGAGGACAACGGGGGCCACGGCCCTCCCGACAGTGCGAGCCTCGAGCCGCCGCGACCTGGGAGCGGGAAGCGCCCCGCCGCCACCGCCTTGGGGAGGTTCAGGATGCGCTGGTGTTTCGGGATGCGGGTGTGCACGGTGTGCCGCGAGAGCGCCCGAAACGAGATGCGCCACCACCAACACCACCACTGACCACCCTCTGCCCCCATTCTCCAGGTGGTGGTGGTGGTGGTGGTGGTGGTGGTGGTGGTGGTGGTGGTGGTCGTGGTGGTGGTGGTGGTGGTGGTGGTGGTGGTCGTGGTCGTGGTGGTGGCGGTGGTGGTGGTGGTGGTGGTGGTGGTGGTGCGCTTCCTTCTCCCCGTGTGACCGCTTCGGGAGCCCGTGCCAAAGGCGACTGTCCCTTGGGCGCGTTCCCGAGCTTCGTGGCAGTTTTGGGGACTGGGGCGTCCCATCGCGTCGCCAAGAGTTCGGGTGTCACGTCAAACCCACATCGAATCAACGAATCCACGTCAGAGCAATGTCGGATTCGCGTCGAATCCGCGCTGGAGCCGCGTCGAACCCATGCTGCACACGATGCAAACAAAGCGATGTACACAAGAGACAATCTCTCCCCCCCGAAACTACAGAGTGACGCCTGGTGGGGTCACTGTAGGCCGCCCAGATGGAGTCCGAGCAGACGGGGTCGGAGAATCGCGCCGCATCGCCAACGCATCGGCGATGCCTCGCCGACGCGTCGGGATGCTGAAGCGACCGCTCCGCATCGGGACCCATCGCCGAGGCATCAGAGACACGGCGCGACCCGCCCACCCCGTCTGCTTCGATCCGATCGGCCGCACGCAAGAGTGACCTCTGGGTGAGAGGGACCTCTGGCGCGCGGCTTGTTGGAGGCCGCGGGGGGCCAGCACGCAAGCGCGCAAGCCGTCACTGTCGCATCGCGCCAGGCCATCGGGGGACCCCAGCGGGCCCGCACCGAAGGTCATCCCGGCGAAGGGTCAACAAGAGCTACCGATGCCGCCGCTCCCCGGACCTCTCCCTGGGGGTGCGTCCTGGCCAGAACTTCGAAAAGAACCCAGCCGTGGCGACGAGGGCCCTCCAGGGCGAGCAGTGGCACGGGGACCTCTTCCTCCTCTCCCCCCCGCCCACCCCGCCCCGCCCCGCCCCGCCCCACCCCGCCCCGCCTCCTCCCTCCCTCCCCCTCCTCCTCCTCCTCCTCCTCCTCTTCCTCCTCCTCTTCCCCCCCTCCCCCTCCTCCCCCTCCTCTTCCCCCTCCTCCCCCTCCTCCTCCTCCTCCTCCCCCTCCTCCCCTCCTCCTCCTCCTCCTCCTCCTCCTCCTCATCCTCCTTCTCCTCCTCCTTCTCCTCCTCCTCCTCCTCCTCCTCGCTCATCCTCCTCCTCCCGTGGCCGTGGAGAATCTGGCCGTGGCGACGAGAGCTCTCCACGACGAGCAGCGGTATCCATACCTTTTCTTCAGATGAGCGCGGGCGGCCTGGAGGCACCCGCCGAAGGCCCGCGCGCGGCACGCGCGCGGGCAGGCCTCCGTCGCGTCCCGCAGCTCGGCCGCCTCCGCGCGCAGCATCTCCGCCTGCCGCCGCAGCGCCGCGGCGTCCTCGGGGGCCGCCGCCGAAGAGGGAGCGGTGTGCGGCGTGCGGGCCCGGCGCTGGGCATTCTCTCACATGCCCGAGGCTATCCGCTCCGAGGTTGAGCGGGCGCGGTATAAACAAGGAACGTGTGTATTTGTGTGCACGTAGAGAGGGAGAGCTTCACGTGTGTGCATGTGGAGAGGGAGAGAGAGAGAGAGAAAGAGACAGAGAGAGAGAGAGAGAGATAACAAAAAAAGAAAAGGAACGAAAGATGGAGAGTGAGAGATAAGCAAAGCAGACGCACCCAAACCGTTCGAGACGCGTGGCAATACCGACGGCACCCTCGAATAATCCCACCAGCCCTTTAGGGCGTGAGAGGTTTAGCGCGTGTCATCTTCCAACCCCCATGCTTCCCATTCGGGTTGGGGTATATCACTGTTCCCTATTAATAAGCACCCCCTCCCCTAGGCGAGCGGCGGCCAACCAGGAACCATGCTCCTACCCCTCGCACCATCCCTGTCAAAAAACAATACAAGACGCACTCTGCCTCCACATTTGGAGCATGCGCGACCAACCCGATACAGGCCCCCCCCACTACGCCTGTCAAAAAAATACAAAGTACACTTTGGGGCAAAATCTTGAGTCATCTTCGTGAGGCCCGCGAGCACTGTATATTGGTTTTGACGGGGACGGCGGAGGTGTCAGCATATTGCTTGCTGTGCGCAGGGCTACCATCCCGAACAAAAAACAATACACCATGCACCTCGCGACTAAATCTGGATAATGCGCGGCCACCCCGCGATCACTGCCAAGTGGTTTGTCACGTTGACGGCGGGGGGGTTGGCGTATGGCCTGCTGTGCACAGGCCCACCAGACACAATGATGGGCATTGGTTTCCGACAAGGATTGTGGGGGCCGACACGTTTCCTGATGCGTGATGTCACGTGCGCAGGCGTACCTCACACACTCTGCACGTGCCCCGAACGTGGCGCACCTGGTGCGGCTGGAGTAGGCGGCAAACCTGGCGCACGCGGAGCACGTGGCGCATCTGGCGCACCACGTGTGCCTGGCACGCTCGGGCCCCAGGGGTGCCTGGCGCGCTTGGCGCGCCTGGCACGCGTGGCGCACCTCGCCCCAGCGTCGCGCACATGGGGTCGGTTTTGGTTCCGAGTAGCTTTCGATCCAAAGACGACCGCTGCGCATACTCAGGCTCGGGTGTTACTTCTGGGTTGCGAGGGCGGGTGGGAGTGAATTCGACGACTTGCTATCTAGGGGGTGCCTTGATCCCCCCTTACCCCTTTACCCTGGAACTGGACGGGAGGGGGTCACGGGTTGTTGGCGCGTTCAAGATAGCCCAAGATGATTCAGAGAGGGTCTCGGAGTCCAAGATGGCCTCAAAGATGGTTCAATGTGGCTCAACATGGCCTCCAAGAAATTCCAAAAGGCCTCGAGACTCCCCTCAAACGGGTCCATATGGGCGAAGGGCCTCCCCAAGGCGCTCCCAAGAGGCCAGCATCCGTCAAAAACCGAATGAACATCAATGTGTCTAGCCATATCGCCCTTTCGCTTCCGAGGGCTTCCCGAGGCATCAAGATGGCTCCAAGGGGGCCCAACATGGCCCAAGGAGGGTCCCAAGATGGTCGTCCCAAGACGGCCCCCAAAATGCCAAAAAGCGCCCCAGGAGGGCCCGTGAGGGCTCCAGAGGGGTGACACTTATTGAGTACACTCCCTCTCTGGTCAACAAAAAGATTGTAAAACCACAGGTTCTAAAGGACTCTGGCTTTTCGGAGGCATCTTTGAAAGGCCATTGCCCCGAGAAAGCTCCGAGAAAGCCGCAGATGCTTCAGGATGGCTTCCGAGATGGCGCAAGGTGGTCCAAGCTGGCTCAAGATGGCATCCTAGATGCCTCCAAGAGACCCCACGCTGGCTCCAAGTCGCCGCGGAGACTCGAAACAAGGCCGCCGAGGGTCCAACAGCAGTCCAAATCATAAGGAACACAAGTGTTTGTAGCCCTCTCGCCTCCGAGGGCTTCTCGAGGCATCAAGGTGGCTCCAAGAAGGCCCCAAGATGGCCCTAAGAGGGCCCCAAGAGGGGGCCCATGCTGGCCCCAAGACGGCCCTGAGAGCGCCTCCCATCGCGCCCCCCAGAGCGCTCCGAGAGGGTCCCAAGAGGCGACCTTGAGAGCTCCAGCGGGGCCTGGCTTTTCTGAATCCTCCAAGATCGGTATCCTGTTTGATCGGTATCCTCCAAGATCGGTATCCCCCAAGGACCTCCTCTTTGATTGGTATCCTCCAAGGTGTTCCCAAGAAGGCCTCCAAGGCCCTCGCGAGAGGGCCCCAAGAGGGCCCCAGGAGGGTCCCAAGAGGCGCCCAAGCGGCCTCCAGATGCCCCCAAGAGGCTCCCAAGCGGCCCCCCCAGAGGCCCCAAGAGGCGCCCCCCGAGGCACCCGAGACGACCGAGGAGGCCCGCCAAAAGACCCCCGAGCCTCCAAGAGGCCTCTTGCACTGCTGCTCACCCTCATCCTCCATTCCTTTTCCTTATAAATAATTTCTCCCTGTCGCTACCCGAGGCTCGTTTTTAGAGCGGTCCGGGCGTTTCGCCTGAGACGTCCTCACCATCTATGATTCTGCAGCTGAACAATTGTCAACAGTTTCACAGATGGAGGACGGGTGGTTTTCAACATGTGGCTCTCGCCTTAGCGCGCCGCGCATTCCTTTGAAACAAGTTGCAAGAATTTGACGGATTGAGGGCGGGTGGTTTTCAAAATAGAATTCTCGCATTAGCGCGGCGCGCATTCGTTTAAAACAGTTGCAAGAGTTTGACGGATTGATGGCGGGTGTTTTTCAACATGTGGTTCTTGCCTCAGCGTGGCGTACACTCATTGTAAACACTTGCAAGAGCTCCACGCATTGAGGGCGGCTCCTTTTCAAAAATGTGGCTCTCGCCTTAGCGCCGCGACCATCCGCTTGAAACAAGTGCAAGAGCTTCACGGATTACCATCAATAACGTACAAAGAATTGCGTCTTGAACAGGTTCAGGATTATGCGGGTGCGGCAATTATGTTGATTTGCTGTGTGGAAATCCCAGGAAAGGCGTTCTGGCAAGATTCAGGATCGTCAAGACGCAACAATCAGGTTCATCCGTGGCGTTGGACTCCCGAGAACAATGTTTTTGGCATGCTTCAAGGTCTTCAAACCGCTGTTTTCGAATGAGGCAGTTCCCTCACTGGAAATCAACCGTTGTAGGGGCCTCTGAAGAAGGAGCTTGGAGGGAGGGTTTATTCCAACATCGTTGACGACTCTTGGGTTTACACTGGTCCTCCTCCGTCCCCTCCTCCTCCTCCTCCTCCTCCTCCTCCTCCTCCGCCTATTTCTCCTTCTCGCTCCTCCCACATCCATCCTCCCCGTCTTGGGGTATGGCGGCTTCCCCAGCCCTTCATTCCACAGCACGCTCCTCCACATCCCCGATCATGGCAACTCGCCTGGGCTTCGTTTTTTGGATGGGCTGGCAAAGCTACGCGAAACGTCTAGAGAATAAGAATGGGTATTTGTATGGGTATGCTGCCCCGCGTGAAGACTCCAATAGGGTCCTCTTCACTGCACGCCTACAGCGGAGGCCAGTCCACAAGAAACCTTCCACAAGAAACCCAACCCAAACCATGGATTCCTGGCGCGGGATCGTCGCGCTCTCCCTAGCAGAACCATGACAACCCAAAAAACCCAGGGCACCCTGGAGGCAAGCAGTGTGTTTCTTGGCATAGCCCACACTGTACTGGGACCTGTACGAGGCGACACCGAAAGAGATCCAATGAAGGGGGGCACGGAAAGGCGCCGCAGGAACTTGCCAAGGCGGGCGCTCCAGATTCGCAGGCGCGCCAGCGGGTCCGCCGGCGACCCTCGGGAGAGACCGTCCAATCCTGGGCAGCTGTCGCAAGGAAGAAGCCAAATCCACCCAGAATCGGTCCCTGGACCCCTCCCGGGCCCACCTGGTGAAATTCCCCACCCCAGACCCGTTCCTGACGGCCCTGGGGTCCGAACGCGGCCCCCGGAGGCCGACATGGGCCCAAACCCTGCTCGAACCCGGCACCTCGAGCCTTGCCCCCCCCCCACCCCTCCCCCCTCCCCCCCCCTGCCCTGGCTGCTCGCTGGAGGCCAGTGCGGGGCCACTTCAGACCCCCGGCCGGCTCACGCTGGGAGGGATGGCGCTGGCTGCGACGAGCGCTCGGCTCCGGGCGGCCAGCTGCCCGCGGTGTGCAGGCGTCAGAGCCCCACGACGCAGCAGCAACCCTTTGGAGATATACCCCACCGACCCCCCAGATCCCAGCCTACACTCTACACCGCTCCCCGAAATCAACACACAACTTGTTTCCGACCGTCTTCGCCCCCCCCTAATTCTGGGGGGAGGGGAAGGTACCCATATACCGCTGCCCTTGCCTCCTTTTCCCAATTTTGGGCCTCCTGGGAGGCCCTCGTCGCCACGGCTGGATTCGCCTCGAAATCCTGGTCAGAAAAGCTCTCTGGGAGATGCCCGGGGAGTAGCGGTATCGGTACCTTTTTGTTTTCTGAAGTTCACTGATGAGCGACGCGCGCCACGCGGCCCGCGGTGTCCGACGAGAAATAAAAGCCGCCAGTTGCGATGCGAACATCGGAAAGAGCGTGATCCACCGCCGCTGTACTGTGAAACATTCCCCCCCTCTTCCTCCTGAACACGGGGGTCCCCCCACCTTCGAAAATCCCCCACCCCATGCTGGAACCCTCCCCCCCCTCTCCCCCCCCTTCCCCCGGCAAACCCCTCCCCCTGACCCCTCCCCCCCCCTCCGGAAAACAGGGGTGGTTCACTACCGGTTCGAACCCCCCCCCGTTACCGCCGGCAAACGACTCCTGGGTCCCCACAACTGTCCGCACCACATCCCCAACCGCTGTCCCCAGCACCACCGTCCCCACAACCACTGTCCCCACTTTTCCCACCACCGTCCCCACTGTCCCGACCAGTGCCCCCACCACTGTGCACAGTCCCCACTGTCCCCACTGTTCCCAGCACGGTCCCACCCTCCCCACTGTCCCCACGGTCCCCACCACTGTCCCACGGTCCTCACTGTCCCCACTGTCCCACTATCCCACTGTCCCCGCCGCTGTCCCACTGAGCTGTCACACTGAGCTGTCCCACTGTTCCCGCCACTGTCCCCACTGTCCCCACCACTGTCCCCACTGTACCCCTGTCCCATTGTCACACCACCGTCACCACCGCCCTCACCACTGTCCCCACCACCACCGTCCCCACCACTGTCCCACTGTCCCCACTGTCCCCACTACTGTCCCACTGTCCCCACACCACTGTCCCCACCACCACCGTCCCCGCCACTGTCCCAGTGTCCCTCCTGTTCCCACCATTGTCCCCGCCGTCCCCACCAGTGCCCCCACCAGTGTCTCACTGTCCCCACTGTCCCCACCATTGTCCCCACCACGGTCCCACTCTCCCCATTGTCCCCACTGTCCCCACAACTGTCCCACTGTTCCCACCACTGTCCCACTGTCCCCACTTTCCCCGCCGCTGTCCCACTGTGCTGTCCCACTGTCCCCACTGTCCCCACAACTGTCCCACTGTCCCCACTGTCTCCCCACTGTATCACTGTCCCACCACCGTCCTCACCACCGCCTTCACCACTGTCCCCACCACCACCGTCCCCACCTCTGTCCCACTGTCCTCACTGTCCCCACCACTGTCTCGCTGTCTCCTCACCACTGTCCCCATCACCACCATCCCCACCACTGCCCCGCTGTCCCCACCACATTCCCACTGTCCCCACACCACTGTCCCCACCACCACCGTCCTCACCACTGTCCCAATGTCCCCACCACTGTCCCGCTGTCCCGAGAAGCGGGAATCGTTTGCCGGCGGCGAGGGAGGGGGTGGGGGGGGTTCGAACCGGTAGTGACCCCTCCCCTTTCCATGATGGACGGGGGGGGGAGGGGGGTGTTCGAACAGGTAGTGACCCCCCCCTGGTCTTCGAAGGGTTGGGAACCCCCAGTGAGCCCCCCCGGTTGTCCGCCAGCAGCGGTAGAACACGCTCTTTTGGGGGGCTCGGGGGCGCCGCCACGTCGCGGAGCAAACGGACTTCGCGGAG